TGAGGGCATTCGCTATCTGAGGCGTTCGTTATCCGAGTTCAACTGTACATGTTTGTTTTTTTAAATATATACTTTCACATAACCATTTACCTGGAATAAAAGGCGATAGGTGATGTCCATGACGAGTATAGGTGTGTTGGTTATTGGCCTTTGGTCAGCACAACTGTGGAATTACAATTGTTGTTTATTATGATGAAACAATAGCGGTAAAATTTAATTGAAACATTTATATTATTAAATCACACGAGAAAGAGGGAGAGAGAGAGAGAGAGAGAGAGAGAGAGAGAGAGAGAGAGAGAGAGAGAAAAAAAGAGAAGAGAGGAGGAGAGAAGAGAAGAGAAGAAAAGAGAAGAGGAGAGAAGAGGAGAGAAGAGTAGAGGAGAGAAGAGGAGAGAAGAGGAGAGGAGAGAAGAGAAGAGGAGAGGAGAGAATGAGAGAGAGAGAGAGAGAGAGAGAGAGAGAGAGAGAGAGAGAGAGAGAAGAAAAGAGATTAGATTAGGAGAGAATAGAAGAGAATAGAAGAGAATAGAAGAGAAGAGTAGAGAAGAGTAGAGAAGAGAAGAGAAGAGAAGAGAAGAGAAGAGAAGAGAAGAGAAGAGAAGAGAAAAGAAGAGAAGAGAAGAGAGAAGGGGAGAGAGAGAGAGAGATCGAGAGAGGGAGATAATCATTTTTAATGAGTAATGAATTCTGTTCACATTTGTCACCCTATGAATGTAATGGATGATAGAAAAGCTAAAACGCTCATATTATATGAGCGTTACATTTGTTTACAGATCTTACATGTTTGTCTATATAAGGCTGGCATGATCAGTAGCGCAACCTTAATATGTTTTTCCTGGACAGACATTTAAGATGAACTTGTATCATAGTGTATAGTTTAGTGTCTCACTAAGTATAAAGATTAGCGGAAATAAACATGGACATAAGATGGAATAAACATGGACATAAAATGGACCTAATATAAACTTAAGATGGATTTAAGATGGGCATAAGATGATCAAAAGATCATCATGACATTGACTTGAGATAAGGTTTAACTATTTTTAGTTTATGTTTCTAACATTTTCATATAGGTCAAATTATGTTTGTAACATTTTCATATAGGTCAAATTACGTTTGTAAATTTATCATATAGGACAAATTATGTATGTAACATTTTCATATAGGCCAAATTACGTTTGTAACATTCTCATTAAGGTCAAATTATGTTTGCAACATTTTCATATAGGTCAAATTATGTTTGTAACATTCTCATATAGGTTAAATAACATTTGTAACATTCTCATATAATGTTTGCAACCTAATCATATAGGTCAAATTATGTTTTTAACATTCTTAAATAGGTCAAAGTATGTTTGAAATACTTTCATATATGTCAAAATATGTTTGTAACATTTTCATATCGGTTAAAATTATGTTTGTAACACACCCATATTGACAAACATGTCAAATTATATTTTAAAATTCTCATATAGGTCAAATTATGTTTGTAACATTCTCATATAGGTCAAATTATGTATTGTTAAATTCTCATATAGGTTCTAGCATTCTCATTGATTTCATTTTTTGTTAAATCAATGCTTATAAACCAAAATCAATTTAAAAAAAAAAAAAGAAGATTTTAACACATTTTTATTCGTGCTAACATGATGTCTGTTTGTATTAGTGATTGGTTCAAAATTTTACTCGTGCATTGTAAAATAAATTTTAATCAAGAAAGTAATTTTGAATTAAGCTTAAACTATGATTCAGTGACGAATTTCGACATTAGCACATGGTAATCTTAGAACGCAGCGGACAAATTGGTAACAACAGTTTATCTGGTGGCAATGGTAATCTTAGAACGCAGCGGACAAATTGGTAACAACAGTTTATCTGGTGGCAATGGTAATCTTAGAACAGAATGGACAAATTGGTAAATTTTATTGATGTAAGTTTATGTAAATTTAATTTATACTTTTTTAAATGTGTTTTTTTTGTTTGTACTGATGAAGGCATGTGCCGAAACATTTACTTGTGTATAATGTCTAATTATTATTAAAGCGTAACTTATATTGTTATATTGACACAATTTGTTCGTGTCTTATTAATTCATCTGGTGGTAATTGTAACCTTAGATCAGACTGAAAACATTGGTAACAACAGTTTACCCGGTGCCAATGGTAATCTTAGAACACAGCGGACAAATTGGTAACAACAGTTTACCTGGTGGCAATGGTAATCTTAGAACAGAGTGGACACCGTTCACCTTGTGATTATGTTCAAGTCCTGGGTGTTCCACAAGGGCAGGACATCACTTGGCAGAGATCCTTACTGCTGTCCCTGGTGTGAGGCTTAAATACTTAGAGATATGCATCGATGGGAGTAAACTTTCAGGTTATGCGGGATTTTTCTTCTTCTTCCCCACCCACAGCAATATCTGAGCCGCTAAATTTAAATCGAAAGCACAGAGGTCGTAATCGATTAGTTAAGGAACTCTACGATGATTACGATGCAAATAATCTCCAAACGGAACAACAAAGATATTAGAACTGATGTATCGGTCCGTGTTGAATCCTAATTTTTACAACCACCAACAGTTGAACACGACCTAATGGGTACAAAACCTAATGGGTACAAAACATAATGGGTACAAAACCTAATGGGTGCAAAACCTCATGGGCGCAGACAGCAATACTTTGGAATCGGTATCTAAAATATCTTTATTTTTTTACTCCGAATCCGTCCACGATGTGCCCACACTTCGTGCTGGGGTTTTCTGGAAAATTCTAAAAGTGCCGTCTCTCAGGATGGCGTCCAAGGAAATGACCCGCGGCCGTGTTGCCAAATGAAGGCGGGGGACTTGATCTGCAGTAATGGTTTGCCAAGCGTCATCTGACCCTTCAGCTTTTGTTACAGCGTGGTACTGAGGTAAGATGACCTGCTAATCATGTGACACTTTGTGGAATGGTAACGGCGGCGCTATTCCCAGAGTCGACGGTGACACTCAGTGTACGTCAGGCAAGACGCATGTGGCGCCCTCTAGTAGAGTTCATGTCGGCCTTGCGGTGATCAGCAAGCAGACACTTCCGGTTAGTCCAAGATATGGAGTGTATCGGTAGCTACATTTTTTTCCTAGCAATGGCGTCGCGTTACACTAAATGGGCGTCTCTGCCCCCACGCACAATGACACAAATACATTAGTGATATTAGTGATTGGACTTTTTTAAAATGAACTTTCCAATTTAATTGAATTCAAATCATATTTGTTTTTTTTGTTTTTTGTGGGTTTTTTTGTGGGTTTTTTTTTTGTTTGTTTTTTTGTTGTTGTTTTTCTAATTTTTTTTTTTTTTTAACCTAGATTTTGAATTAAAATTTTTCGTAAGTTACCATGCAAACTTTTTGATTAAGTGTCACTTTTCTACAGGTTTTCTTTCCAATTTAATTGAATTCAAATCATATTTGTTTTTTTTGTTTTTTGTGGGTTTTTTTGTGGGTTTTTTTTTTGTTTGTTTTTTTGTTGTTGTTTTTCTAATTTTTTTTTTTTTTAAAACCTAGATTTTGAATTAAAATTTTGCGTAAGTTACCATGCAAACTTTTTGATGAAGTGTCACTTTTCTACAGGTGATAAATGTGACTAGGAGTGGGCAGAACTCCTTGCCTTGACCATGGACCAGAACCTTACAATTTATAAGGACTGTGACCGTATTGTTTCTTTGGGTCAAAGTAGTCACTCCTCTGAGACACATGGTCAGGACATAGTTTACAGCCGTGTGGTCGTTTACGCCGACGATTAAAATTGCAAACGTTTATTAAATGGATAGGTTGGGGGTGTCTTCGTTAAAATGACGAAACAAATAAGAATGCACATTACTAGGCTGGACGCCACTGTACCAACCAGGACCAGTGGAGGGGTCACTGTGCCAGCAAGAACCATTGGAGGGGTCACTGTGCCAGCAAGAACCAGTGGAGTAGTCACTAGTCCTGCACCAACAGACTGGATGACTATGAGACTGGATGACTTTGAGACTGGATGACTATGAGACTGGAAGACTATGAGACTGGATGACTATGAGACTGGAAGACTATGAGACTGGATGACTATGAGACTGGAAGACTATGAGACTGGATGACTATGAGACTGGAAGACTATGAGAATGGATGACTATGAGACTGGATGACTTTGAGAGGGGATGACTACGAGACTATATGACTAGGAGACTGGATGAATATGAGACTGGATACTTCATTCACTTCATTGGCTCCCAGTACAAGCACGGATTGACTACACACTCTCTGTTCTCGGCCACAACTTTTTTCTCGAACTCCTGCCCTTCCTATCTTACCGAACTTTTTTCTTTCTATTCACCCCTTCGCTCCTCCGCAGACGCGCGTATTCTTTCTGCCCCAAAGACTCGCACGAAAACATAAGGTGAACGATCGTTCTCTTTCTGTGCGCCAAAACAATGGAATTCTCTTCCACTACACATTCGTAATATACCGACCATCACAGCCTTCAAAACTGCACTCAAAACACATCTCTTTAAACTCTTCTATCTTGACGAAATCCCCACTCTGACCAATAAACGATGCTGCTGGGTAGCAGTCCATGGCTTGACACGTGAATAGTTCTTTAGGCTGGGCTATCACGCTATATAAAACCACCGCTAAAAATAATAATAATAATATGTCACAGGATGACTAAGTAGCTTGGCAACTATGCAACAGGATTGTTATAAGCCGTGACAGGGTTGTTATTCGGCAAGGTGACAGTGTGATTTAGGAGACAGCTCGACAATATGACAGGGCAGCTATGTGAATGAGCGTGTTTCTATGTAAAAGCTCTACTCTTACAGCACAATTAATCTGTGTGCCATCTAACATCCCATAACACAGCAAGCACAGTTAATCTGTGTGCCATCCAACATCCCATAACACAGCAAGCACAGTTATCTGCATGCTATCCAACATCCCATAACACAGCACATATCGTTACAAGATTTGTTCATAATTTATGGTCAGTTGATAGCACGGCTATGTAGGCCACCAATCACGGCCGAAGAAATAGTATCCCCTTAAAAAAGGCCTGACTAGGACACACCTTCTGTGGCCACATTCTGTGACTTAACACACATAACACATCTATGGTTGAGAGAGCAGCTGCTCGGACTGGACTTGTTGGGTGAGTTGTAGTTTTTAAAATAATTTTAGAAAGATTTTGTTGCAAATATATGACACCGTGGTGTGACAGTTGGAAATATAATAATATGACCTTTTAGTGTGACAGGGCACATATGTGACACGTTGACTGTGACAGGGCAAGTGACACGCTTTGACTTTCACATGACAAGCATGTGACATTTTGACTGTGACATGGCAAGTAAGTGGCACTTTGATTGTGACAGGGCGACTGTGCGATATAGGCCACACAATGAACGCGATATCATCAACACTGAATAGTCAGCTGATGCTGGTGAAGCACATGGGTCCTAGAGTTCACAGGAACTTGTAAAACATATCCTTCCCGTCGTTCAGAGATATGGTGAAACATATGGGTCCTATTGTTCTATAACTTGTTACATTGAGCACCAGTATAAGAAGCGTATCTATAAAAAAAATAGGTGCCCTCTTACGACCGTATGAGGAACGCATCTATATATTGATAGGTGTACCTTTACGACCTTGTATAATGTTGATCGACCGTATTAGAGACTCAGTTATATATCGATATGCGTAATGTTACGGCCGAATTAAAGACGTAGCTATATATTTATAGGTGTACTGTTACACCCGTATAAGAGACATAGCTACATGTTTATAGGCGTATTGTTACGCCCGTAATAGAGACATAGCTATATGTTGATAGGTGTACTGTTACGAGCTTATTAGAGACATGGCTATATGTTGATAGGTGTAATGTTACACCCGTATTAGAGACATAGCTATATGTTGATAGTTGTACTGTTACGCCCGTATTAGAGACATAAACATATATGTTGATAGGTGTATTGCTTCGACCGTATTAGAGACGTACCTATATATGTTTATACGCGTACTGTTACGACCTTATTAATCTCATAACTATATGTTGTTCGACCGTATGAGAGACTCAGCTACATTTCCATAGGTCTACTGTTCGTTTCATTCAGGCGTCGCCAAGGGGTCGCCAGGGGTCGGTCGCCCAGGGGTCGCCCAGGGGTCGGCCAGGGGTCGACAAGGGATCGCCCAGGGGTCGCCAAGGGGTCGCCCAGGGGTCGCCAAGTGGTCGACAAGGGGTCGCCCAGTGGTCGACAAGGGGTCGCCCAGGGGTCGACAAGGCGCAGCTGCCTGGATGGGTTGTGGTGTAATAAATTAGATCTGCCCTGCTCCTCAGCCGTGACTTGTTTCCTTCAGTTGCTATGGTGATACTTGACGGTGAATACAAATTTTATAGTGGACGTCTTTTCAGAAATGTCAATCTAGAGCAGTGGTTGTCAACATTGCTAATAATGCCCCAACCCTTTAATACAGTTCATCATGTTGTGGTGAGCCCGAACCATAACAATTATTTTCGTTGCTAATTCATAAATAGGTGTTTTCTGACGGACTTAGGCGACCCCTGTGTAAGGGTCGTTCGACCCCAGAAAGTGTCGTGACGCACAGGTTGAGAACCGGTGATCTAGAGGCACGAAATAAAGTCTGAGTGAAAGGGTCGGTCGTTGATTTCTATGGACATAATATAAACTAATGTCAGGTCCTAAAAATTAGAAGCTTAAATGTTTACATTACAACTTGAGATCGACTGAATTTGATTTTCTGTTTTCGGTTGAAGCCTAAACAATACGTACGAAAAATTGAAAATGACCTTCGGCGGAAACCAATAGCGAAAATTTGATCGGCCTCTAAATTATATATTTACTGATTCCACGCTTTTCCATTGTAGAATTGATAACGTCACTATGCTGGGACTACTGGCCACTCTGATTTCTGCACTGGTCACCTCGGAGGCGAGCAAAAACGTCCTGCTTATCTTCGGTACGTTGACCACCACCACCACCACCGCCACCACCTTCTGTCAACAGTGTTGTTTTTTAGACCATTGTTCGTTAACACCGCCTTATTGGAGCATTGTTTATTAACATTTGTGTTATTTAAACCAATGATATTTCAACACATTGTTGTTTGTTTAGCCACAGTTTGATAGCAATGCCGTTTTGATTGACATTAGTTTGATAGCATACCGTCAAATGTAATAAAAGCTTGCCTGACGTAAGATTGATTATCCATGTACAACATATTAGTTGGGATACAAATGTGTGCTATGTATAAAAGTCTTTATTACAATAACAACGTTTACATCCCGAGCCAGAGGCACGTGCCACGAGTTAATATCATGTACCATACCCGCCCTTTGTCCCTGAACCTGGCATGTCTTAAACCATCATCATCAACAGTAGCACTGCACCCCATGTAGGGCCCCGGCCTGCTCCACCGCATATTTCGTTTCTGATCGATCCATGGCTTTCCGCCTCAATGCATGAACGTTCTTCATCAATCCATCTCAGTCTTGATTTGACCTGTGAGTTGTCTGCCCATAGACTCCTGTGTTTAGGTCACATTTGCTGCTGTCCTATCCGGCATCCTCTCAATGTGTCCTGTCCAGCGCAGCCTGTCCCATTTAGTTGCCGCATGTATGGATGGGTCTTCGAACAACTGATATGCATGCACTTCCAGTTTTTTACGAATTCTTTATTAATCATCATCCAACACTAGACCATTTATTTTTCTGAGGATTTTCCTTCCCCATGTAATGAGCAGGATCTCGACTTTTTGATGGGGGACCCATCTGCAGAAGCTGCTCAGTTCACATTTAAAAAAAAAAAAAGAAGTGTTAGACATTACAAACTCTATTCTCGGAGTTCCCCATCACAAACATAATAAGTGAATGCCAACTTCTCACGCCTCACCACAGTCGACGATGGCGGCAGCCTGCTCAGCGCCTACAACAACACCGTCTGTGACACGCCTAATCTGGACAAACTGGCGGCCTCCAGCGTCACCTTCACACGTGCGTACACATCTGTCAGCAGCTGCTCACCTAGCAGGTAAGTTCATCCAGGTGGAAAAATCATAAACCCGAGGTCAGATCCCACGCATAGTTCACACTATGCTTATTATTTTTGTTGGTTTCGTCCCCCTTAACTCATTTCAAACAAACTTGAAAACAAAAAGGCCATGAAGACAAATTTAGTTTCAACTTGCATAATGAACATCTCACCAGCAAACTCTTACACACAGGGGTCTTGCATGACTTTAACTCTGCCCATTGTGTGACTTTGACCATTAGGTCAGTGCTACTAACTGGTTTACCACAGCATCAGAACGGGCAGTACGGACTACAGCACGCCTACCACCACTTCCAATCGTTTGACGACGTCCAGAGCTTGCCACAGCTGCTCAGTAAAAATGGGGTGAGGACAGGTGAGTCCGTGTGGTTTAACTGTACTGGTTGGTATGTGTGGTTTAACTGTACAGGTGTGTCTGTGTGGTTTAACTGTACATGTGGGTCCGTGTGGTTTAACTGTACTGGTGGGTATGTGGGGTTTAACTGTACATGTGTGTCTGTGTGGTTTAACTTTACTGGTGAGTCCGTGTGGTTTAACTTTACTGGTGGGTCCGTGTGGTTTAACTGTACTGGTGGGTCCGTGTGGTTTAACTGAACTGGTGGGTCCCTGTGGTTTAACTTTACTGGTGGGTCCGTGTGGTTTAACTGTATTGGTGGGTACATGTGGTTTAACTGTACGGGTGAGTCTACGGGGTTCACCTGTACTGGTAGGTCTATGTGGTTTAGCTGTACTGGTGAGTCTGTGTGGTTTTACTGGGCTGGTGAGGCTACATGGTTTAAAAGAACTGGTAGGTCTGTGTTGTCTTACTATACTATTATGCTATGTTTAACTGTACTGGTGGTCTATGTGATTTTAAGTTTTGAACACTGCACGTGGTCTTAAGCGGACATGGAACGGAACACGTTTTGTAAATTTTGCGAAAAGTTGTACAACACTCATGTCTTTAGGAACTCCAATGCCAGGCAGATAAATCAGGGGTCTCAAACTCAAATCATCCGGGGCCGCAAGTAATAGAATCTGAGTGAGACTTGGCGGCATCAAGTATTCCACACACAAAAAAAAGCGATTACAAAGTCAATAAAGAACAACTGTTACAATCTGCTGAACATTTATTTATAACAATTAAAAACATTAAGGGTTCTCAAGAACTAGGCTTCACTTTCTTCCTCCTACTCCTTGTTGCCAGAGATTTGGCAGCGCGTCTTCTAACACAGCTGAGCAACATTTGAGTTGGGTGAGAAAGCAACTGAGACCCTCGGTATAGTTTGAAGATGCTCATCAGTAAGTTGTGGCCCTGAACTTTGACTTGTTAAAGTTCATAGTGGGTAAGAGCTTTTCATACAGATAGGTACTCCCAAAAAGGCACATGATCCGCTTGAGCAACCTGGAAATCTCTGGAAGGTGGATTGCAATATTCTCATAAATTATCCATGCTTGTCTGTTTTTCCATTCACCTCCCTGAACTTAGAATTTCACTGAAGATCAACTAGCTCCATTTGAAGCGCAATTAGGAGGTGGGGGGGGGGGGTGCATCTTCCAAATTGAAGGAGAAATGGTCAGCAAAAAGTGGAAAAGTTGCTCTGCTTGATTTGAAGTCTAAAAATGTGATCAAATTCTTCCTGTAGCTTTGCAATGGCATCAGCATACTTCCTACTAAAGGGTGTGCCCGAGTCCATCAGGACTTGACATGTTGGGAAATGGCAGAGGTTTCCCTAGAATCATAAAACAAGTTTTGTGCAGAATGCCCAGACATTGTCATTGGATACACTGACAATCTACCCCTGGTCTTGTAACTTCTTGTTGAGTAAATTTAGCTCCTGTGTAATGTCAACAAGAAAAGCACAGTCCATGAGCCATTTTTGGATCACTTAGTACAGGAACAACCACCCCATCATTCTCAATGAAGGGTTTGAAGGCTAAAAAGTGCTCAAACAGTAGGCATGGGTAGGAAATATTTATGAATTATTGATGCGATGGAAGATGCTATTGTAGGGAGAATGAATTTTGATTTATTTTTTGTCGAATAAAAAGCCTTCTTTGATTAACCCTATTTTGAAAGTGACCAAGCTGACAGGCTCGAATTTCTCTCACTCGTAAACACTAGCAGCAATTTTAATAGGGATTCTTTGATACCGTGTCAGGTTGCAATGATTTATACAATTATGGTTATGCATTGCGCACTAACTGACTTTTAAAACTTTTCTCAAAACCGCATTTTGGCCGCCATGTTTGTCTCATAAAATAAAAACTTTTAGTCAGATTTTTTACAACGGTTTTGACCATTCTAATCAAGGTCCAAATCTATACAAACATTATAAATATCAGAATTAGACTAGTCGGTGAGATGCTACTTAAACTTTCGCGGAGGTTCGCATCATAGATATGAGAATGGGGCGCGGGGCGCATTAAAACTAAACTTTGCTGTCCTGTAGAGGGCCGAAAAATATCGTCTTGCGAAGCGCAAATGGCTCGCGGGTCGCGAATTTGAGACCCCTGAAATAAATGAAACGTCTGAACTTTAGCGATCAGAAACAGTAACTCTTGATACAGCTGCACATTTCTTCAATCAGAAACGATAACTCATAAAAGTCTCACCTGTACCATGTCGTTCTCAGTACAATTCTGAGATACTTCATAATCACATAGGTCTCACCTATAATATGTGGTTCTCAGTTCAATTGTGAGATACTTCACACCCATGTAAGTCTCACCTGTACCGTCTTGCAGTTTATGACTTTCAAAGATATATTTCTTGGACCAGGACTTATCGGCAAAAAGCACGTGGCCCCGCCCACGGTGTACAAGTTCGACTTTGAGAGGTCAACAGGCTTTGACCTTGACCAAGTGGGCCGTAACATAACATACATGAAAGAGTTTGTCAGAGAATTTTTGCTAGAGACAGCTGATAGGTGAGTAGCTTTAGTTTCCCTAGTTATTGTTGGTTTGTAATGTAGCGCGTGTGTCTGACACAAGCATACCATCTTTGTTGTCAGTTCTGTGTATTTTTTTTTTTACAAGTGTGTCTGGCATAGTAAAAAAAAACAATAAAAATCAATCTGCTACGGTCTGATGGTGAGTCAGGAGATGGTGAGTCAGAAGATGGTGAGTCAGGAGATGGTGAGTCAGGAGATGGTGAGTCAGAAGATGGTGAGTCAGGAGATGGTGATTCATGTTGCAATGTATAAGTACTCCAGTCCATCCGACAAGTATGAGACCTACTGTTGCACGCGAGAGGTGACCACATATTTATAAAATCTTCCACAGACCCTTCTTCTTGTACATAGCATTCTATGACACCCATCGAGGGGACAACACATCGACCTTTGGTCAGTTTATGAACAAATGGGGCACCGGGCAGCCTGGGATGGGGCTCATACCGGACTGGAAACCCAAAGTTTACGACCCTGACAAGGTCGTGGTGCCGTACTTCTTACCGGACACGCCCGCAACCAGGTCGGACATAGCTGAGATGTATACGTCCTTCAATCGACTAGATCAAGGTGAGCACACCCCGGGGGGGGGGGGGGGGGGGGGTGGTCGGTCAACCCTGATGAAGACTGTTGTTAAAACTCGTGCTCAAGATAGGATACTAATATTAGGGACTGCCTTCAGCTGCTCAAAAACAGCCCTTAAGGCAGTGGTTCTCAACCTTCCTGATGACACGACCCCTTAATACAGTTCCTCGTGTTGTGGCGACCCCCCCAACCTCAAAATTATTTACGTTGCTACTTGATAACTTTAGAGTATATGTATTTTCCGATGGTCTTAGAAGACCCTTTTGAATGAGCCATTCGACCCCCAAAGGGGTCGCGACCCACAGGTTGAGAACCGCTGCCTTAAGGAATAACCACCCCAGGAAACGTTTTGGGTGTGTCTTATTTTTCTTTCTCTTCTCATCTTCTATAAATAGTTTTGTGTAGATCGTTAAACTTCTTTCAATATCACAATAAAATTTAAAAAGTCAAGATTCTTTGTCCCGAGACCTTTGAAAGGCACAAGGCTCCTAAAAGGCACGGGGCTCCTAAATCAGACAGGACAATTTAAAGGCACAGGGCTCCTAAAAAGCACAGGGCTCCTAAATGGCACGGGGCTTCTAAATCAGACAGGACAATTTAAAGGCACGGGGCTCCTAAAAGGCACGGGGCTCCTAAAAGGCACGGGGCTCCTAAATGGCACGGGGCTCCTAAATCACACAGGACACTTTAAAGGCACGGGGCTCCTAAAAGGCACGGGGCTCCTAAAAGGCACGGCGCTCCTAAAAGGCACGGGGCTCCTAAAAGGCACGGGGCCCTTAAAAGGCGCTAGGCTCCTTGGCACATGTCTCATCTGCCTTCTGGTTAAGCCGGCACTGGCCTTGTCATTAGACGGATTGAACTCGTCATTAAACAAAACTGTTTACAAATAATGGGGATTTTAATGTATGCACTTAACTCAATTTATTTCTTTTTTTTTAAATTATTTTTTTTAAACTTTATTTTGGATGTTTTTGTTTTGAATCCACCAATCCCAGGTGTTGGCTTATTTCTGGAAGAGCTAAAATTGTCAGGTCACCTGGATGACACGCTGATCATGTTTACCGCAGACAATGGTATCCCATTCCCCAACGCCAAGACCAACTTGTACGAGCCCGGAATGGGTGAGCCGATGCTGATGTCATCTCCGCTTCACAAGGAGCATTGGGGCAAGGTAACCCAAGATGACACATGAACCCCTATATGACATGTGGCAAGGTAAACCGAGATGACACGTGTACCAGTGTATGACATTGCGAAAGGCAGGTCGAGGTGACACATGTACCAATTTGAGACTAAATGAAACCTTGTATTTTGGATGTATCAAAGATTTTCGGTGTGAACTTTGTTTTGGGAGTCTTCAGTGCATTTGATTTGCTTCTCTCTCTCTCCTCCCCACCCGGGGCGGGGGGGCGGGGGTCCCTTCCGGGGCTGTTTTTTTTTCAAATGCCAGGGAGATCGCTATTTCGAGGTTCGTTATTTACAGGTTTCATTTTGCCAAAAAAAAAAAAAAAAAAAAAAAAAAAATGGGGGGGGGGGGGTCCCTTCCGGGGCGGTTTTTTTTTCAAATGCCAGGGAGATCGCTATTTCGAAGTTCGTTATTTACAGGTTTCATTTTGCCAAAAAAAAAAAAAAAGCAGCACTATGTTTAGGTTTTTTGTTTGTGTGTGTGGTGGGGGGAACTGTTGAAAGTCCGCCCCGGGTGGTACGATGTCTCGCTACACCACTAACTTGAGACCATCGTTGATCGGGTGGACCGGGCCACGTGTCACATCATGTTTCGGGCCTCAATTGGGAGACTTTAAAAATATTTCAGAATGAGGTACCACGATGAATCATATGACAGCAAACTTGACTGACATGACAGACATGACTGACATACTCAGTTTGATGATGCATAGTTTGATACATATTGTGAGGATATTTCCTTGAAACCAAATTAACCCAAACCGCAACACAGAGATTATTTTTTTTTTTTGGTATCAGTATTTGATCATCGGCTTCTTTCGTGAAGAAGAATTAGTAGCCTCAAGTCTGTGCCTCAAAATTTCAGTATTCCCAAGCATTGGTCAGCACGATGGACTTTGTCCCGACTGTACTGGACTGGTTTAACATCACCTACCCGAGTTACGATCTGAACGGCGTTAAGGTAGAACTCACTGGAAAATCGTTACTTCCTCTGGCTGCTGATCCGGATAATCCAGAGTATACCCGGGTGTACAGCAGCCATGACTTCCATGAGGTAAGTCTGTGGTGGCAGCCGGTGGTTAGTGTTAAGTGTTGCTAGTTTGGTGGATGGGGTGGCTGGGTTGGTGGATGGGTGGCTGGGTTGGTGGATGTGTGGCTTAGGTTGGTGGTTTTGTTGCTAGGTACGTAGGTAACTGGGTAGGTAGGTAGATGGGTCGGTAGGTGGAATGGTAGGTAGATGGATGGGTAGGTGGGTCGGTAGGTGGAATGGTAAGTAGATGGATGGGTAGGTAGGTGGTTGAGAAGATGGATAGTACGAGAGATAGAGATATAAATCACCATTGAGACTACGTTGGCACAACCAGATAGCTGCACTGCACAATGAGACAATCTTCCTACATTCAGATAACTATGCTCTTCTCAATAGGACTATCTTCCTACATTCAGATAACTATGCACTACCCAATGAAAATATCTTCCTACATTCAGTTAACTAAGCACTACTCAATGAGTCTATTTTTCATCGTTTAGATAACTATGCACTACCCGATGAGAGTGGTGCGAGATGACCGTTACAGGCTCATCCACAACCTCAACAACAGAGCACCTTATCCAATAGCCACGGATCTGTACATGTGTCCTACCTTTCTGGACATTCTTAACAGGTAGAGTTGCCATGGGCATGGGGGAGGAGGCCGCGGAGGGTTGTCATTAGGGGTCCTCAATCGTCCTCCAACACGATTTTTAGTATGCACACTAATTCCGAAGAAACTCGTCCAACCCGTGATGGCTGGAAACAAACTTTCAGAATGCGAATGTTCTTGTTCCTTTTAAATACATATACCGTAATATCACGGACTGTCAAAAATTGTCGCTGTAACTATAAGCAAGGACCATCAGAATCTTTTTCATGGTATTGATTTACTTAGCTCTGTAGCTCTAGTACACAGGTCTTTTAACTCTGTAGCTCTAGTACACAGGTCTTTTAACTCCGTAGCTCTAGTACACAGGTCTTTTAACTCTGTAGCTCTAGTTCACAGGTCTTTTAACTCTGTAGCTCTAGTACACAGGTCTTTTAACTCTGTAGCTCTAGTACACAGGTCTTTTAACTCTGTAGCTCTAGTACACAGGTCTTTTAACTCCATAGCTCTAGCACACAGGTTTTCAACTCCATAGATCTAGTACACAGGTTTTCAACTCCATAGATCTAGTACACATGTCTTCATCTCTATTGATCTAGTACGCAGGTCTTCAACTCCATAGATCTAGTACGCAGGTCTTCAACTCCATAGATCTAGTACACAGGTCTTCAACTCCATAGATCTAGTACACATGTCTTCAACTCCATAGATCTAGTACGCGGGTCTTCAACTCCATAGCTCTAGTACACAATTGACATGTCTTCAACTCCTTTGCTCAAGTACACAGGTCTTCGACTCCATTGCTCTAGTCCACAGGTGTTCAAGCACCTCATTTCTATTGAAAGGAAATTTCCCAACGACCTCCATGATATAACGACCATTAAAGTAAATCGCTTCCCAATCTTCCTCTTATTAATTCGGCTAATGAAAACACATCAAAACTAGATGTTTCAATAGAATATAAGTTTAGCTTTAAAAAAAAAAAGAGTAATTGTAACTTTAATTGTAGATTTAAGACGACATATTTATTTTTAATGGAAAAATCACAACTCATCTTAGTTTATTTGTTTCAGCCGGTGACCCCACAAAAATTCCCATCGCAACCGCATTTAAGGTACCTCAACCAGTCATTTGCTGGGGACCCGTGTGGACTAGTAACTTTGATTATACCAGGCTGTTCACGTGCCAAACTACATTTATATTAATGTTTTTTTTTTTTTCTTAATTCTTATAACAAGCTAGTTATAGCAATGCACGCAATTTTTGATTATTTTTAAATTCGAAGCTAACCCCGCTTTAGAAACATTTTGATGGTAAATATTTTCTGACGTATTCGATTGGCAACATCTTTCAACTATAGAGTAAGCTGTTGTGTTTTAGCTACAGGTTGGTCTCATCCGATTTTTGCGTGCCTAATAAGCATATTAGTTAGTTATACTGGGGCTCAGAAGGGGAAAATGAGGCACCTAGTCGCATGTGGGTATTTAAGTTAAGCTATTATTGAAACAAACTCTTTGATCCTGTTTATATAATTTAGCATATGCTTAATGCCATCCCCGGATAAAACTATAGTTGTAATGCTATTTCCAGCTTGAACAACTATTTTCATTACACAAGATCACCAAAATTCCCCTTCCAAAAAATATTTACCCCAAAAGTCCCTTGTTATAAAACATCGTGATTATCCCCGAAATCCCCCATTCCAAAACATGATTATCCCAAAAGTCCCTTATTATAAAACATCGTGATTATCCCCGAAATCCCCCATTCCAAAACATGATTATCCCAAAAGTCCCTTATTATAAAACATCGTGATTGTCCCCGAAATCCCCCATTCCAAAACATGATTATCCCAAAAGTCCCTTATTATAAAACATCGTGATTGTCCCCGAAATCCCCCATTCCAAAACATGATTATCCCAAAAGTCCCTTATTATAAAACATCGTGATTGTCCCCGAAATCCCCCATTCCAAAACATGATTATCCCAAAAGTCCCTTATTATAAAACATCGTGATTGTCCCCGAAATCCCCCATTCCAAAACATGATTATCCCAAAAGTCCCTTATTATAAAACATCGTGATTGTCCCCGAAATCCCCCATTCCAAAACATGATTATCCCAAAAGTCCCTTATTATAAAACATCGTGATTGTCCCCGAAATCCCCCATCCCAAAAATCCCTTTCCCATAACATAAATTAACAAGAAATCCCTCTTTACAGAGTAAGATTATCCCAAAGATCTTCCTTTCAGAAAACAATTATCCCAAAAATCCCTTATTCTACGACATCCTGATTATATCGAAAATCCCCTTCTAGAAAATAATTATCCAAAAAATTACACTTCCAGACAATATTTTCCCCAAAATTCTCCTAAACTAGAACATCATGTTTATTCCCCTCCCCTTAAGGAAGATAATTATTCACAAAATCCTACTACCAGAGCACGATTATCATTAAAAAAATACCCCTTCCAGAACATGATTATCCAAATATTTCCCCTCGAAGAACATGTTTATTTAAAAAATCCTCCTTTCCAGAACATGATGTTCCTCAAAATCCCTTTTCCCAAAACTTGTTTATCCCCGAAATCCCCCATTCCAAAACATGATTATCCCAAAATTTTCCCCTTCCAGAACATGATTATCTCTACAATCCTACCATTTCCCCAACAATCCAATGGTTTCTCAACAATCTTTCGTTCCAGAACAATCCACGGCCAAATGACCAACTGGTTTAAGAGCCTGAAAGAATATTACCACAGGGCTGAATGGGAGTTGTTCAACCTTGACGAGGACACCCAGGAGCTTCACAATCTCTACGGCGTCCCAGAGTATGACAAGGTTTTTCAGCAGATGCAGAGCAGCCTGGACCGGTGGCTTTGGAGGACCAATGACCCCTGGCGTTGCATGCCCCATGGTGTGCTGGTGAACGAAAAATGTTGGCCTCTGTATAATGACCTTTGAACTAAAAAAAAATATCGGCCTACCCATGCCTAACGCAACGCTTGAAAGTTAGTTTCGTGGCTATGAAAGAATTCAAGAGTTACTTCACTATGCAATCAGAAATATAATATCCTAATTCCTTTCATAGAGTAATATCAGTCTTTAAATATCATCCGATTGTATTGAGGGGGTGGTTATTGTTTGTATAATATTTCAATTTTATGATAATGCCCCTCCTAAATGATGGTAGCCAGCTGTCAATCTGCCTTCGATTGTGCAGCGGGATTGTATATGTATAAGCAAGGCGACACATGAAATTTGCATAATGTCACGTGATATGTGTATAAATAGAAATAAAATTCTGAATTTTTCTTCGAGCATTTATTTAGTAAGATGAGTCTTGTCCTAAAATTAGCAAAAGGTTGCAGAAATAAACTAAGATAATACTGTAGATCAGTGGTTCTCAACCTTCCTAATGCAGCGACCATTTACTACTCTTCCTCTTCTTGTGGTGACCCCCCCCCCCAAACCATAAAATTATGTTCGTTCCTACTTCATAAATATATGTTTTCCGATGGTCTAAGGCAGCGGTTCTCAACCTGTGGGTCGCGACCCCTTTGGGGGTCGCACGACCCTTTCCCAGGGGTCGCCTAAGACCATCTGAAAACACACATACTCTACAGTTATGAAGTAGCAACGAAAATAAGTTGGTGGCTGGGGGTCGCCACAACACGAGGAACTGTATTAAAGGGTCGCGGTATTAGGAAGGTTGAGAACCACTGGTCTAAGGCGACCCCTGTACGAGGGTCGTTCGAATCCCAAAGAGATCGCGACTCACCGGTTGAGAACTGCTGCTATAGATAATTTCAAATTATTTTCAAATTTAGATAACAGGCTTACATTAGTATTAGGCTTGATATTTAGATAGTAGGCCTACATTAGGCTTGATATTTAGATAGTAGGCCTACATTAGGCTTGATATTTAGATAGTAGGCCAACATTAGGCTTGATATTTAGAAAGTAGGCCAACATTAGGATTGATATTTAGAAAGTAGGCCTACATTAGGCTTGATATTTAAATAGTAGGCACCATTAGGCTTGATATTTAGAAAGTAGGCCTACATTAGGCTTGATATTTAGAGAACACTTGGGCCTAGACCTACATTAGGCTTGATATTTAGAGAACACTTGGGCCCACATTAGGCTTGATATTTAGATTGTAGGCCAACATTAGGCTTGATATTTAGAGAGCACTTTGGCTTACATTTGGCTTGATATTTATAATAGATCTACATTAGGCTTGATGATAAATTCAACGGCAACGCCCAATCAAGTTAGTACCTAACTAGTTATTTGTCCGTCTTCTCAACCTTACGCCATACTTGATTGGCTACTTGGTGCTTTTATTTTCAGTATGGGTCGACACATTGGATTGCGTGAGCGACTATTGAACCACGCCTTCTCGCACCACGTAACGCGCCTTCTCGCACCACGTAACGCGCCTTCTCGCACCACGTAACGCGCCTTCTCGCACTATGTAAAATCTTGAGATTTTGTTTATAAGACTGTCAGACTATCTTTTCTCTCAGACAAAAATCCAAGACAGGCAGTTCTTTTTGGTCTAGAACATAACGTGGTAGACATCTTTATTCCACTGACAGCACTAGTAAACACAAACGTATATGAGCTAAGGAGAGGGACAGGGGAGGTATAGACTTGATCTACTAACAACAACAAATCACAAAACTACACAAAAACGTATGTGTTTTTTTTTTTAAAGATAACAACTAACAATTTATGCACAAATACTGGGTGCGATTTCAAGGGCAAGTCCAGCAACGTATGTGTGTTAACATACACAGACCAACCAACTTTTGAACTTTTCAAGCACAACTCTGATTGGTCCAACTATTGCTAGCGTGAATTGGTGTAACACGACTGATATTATCTGTTTGGATCAAATAATGCCGTGATCTCATTGGACCAACTACAGTGGCACAATTTAAACGACCAATCAAACATGACACGATCCAATTGGCCAATCAAAGATGACTTAATCCGATTGATTCACAGCATACACATCTTTGCGTCGTCATCATCATATTTACATAACATACACATAAACCAATAAACATATTGTAAAGTCCCATTGCTTTTTGTCCAGATGTAACGTTTACATGATTTGCGAGTTACCCTCTGATGACATCACTCCAATGTGACCCTGAGAGAGAGCTGGTGGCACAACAGACTACCACAGTTGTGTACCAGATAAAACATGGGCTCAAGTACCGGTACTTGTGGTTTTGAACAACATTGTACCAGGTACAACATGTGGTCAAGTACAGGTACTTGTGGTATTGTACAACATTGTACCAGATAAAAAATGGGGTCAAGTACAGGTACTTGTGGTATTGTACAACATTGTACCAGATAAAACATGGGGTCAATTACCGGTACTTGTATTGTACAACCTTGTATCAGATAAAAGATTGGCTAAAGTACCAGCACTTGTGGTATTGTACAATATTGTAACATGGGGGCCAAGTACCGATACTTAAGGTATTGCAACGACAGCTTCCATATCTGACAGAAACATATCGCTATAATTATATTCTATACATACCGGTACGGTATCTTAAAATAAGTTTGCCAAAGATTCATAATGTTATCATTGACTAGAGCAGGAACACAGTCTTTAAAATACACAAGTGATCTATGTGACTAGTTTATAAATATCTCCTTCCAGGAGATGTACAACAATCTGAGGTATCCATATTTCTGTGTTAGGTAATATCCAATGGCCAGTGTTGTACTCTCTGACTACTTTAACTGATTTATCCACCATGCCTGTAATTGCACTCTGTGATTTATATGTCATGTTAAGAACTAATGGTTGGTATGACCTACTAACTACAGGTTTTTACTGGTATTGACCCACAGTTTAGTATTGACCTACTACCCACATGTTGCTAATATTTATCAAATAACCACATGGTGTTGTTGGTATCCACCTACTACCAACCTGTAGTTGCTGGCATTGCAGAAAGCAGGTAGGCAGTCACAATGTTACAGAAAGGAAACAGTAGGGAAGCTAAGAATCAAAGTGAATATGACTTAAGAAAAAAACAAGTAGGGGGGAGAGGGGTGGCAAGACTTGTTTTGAAGAAATGTCAAATGATTTGAGAGATTCCTAGGAACGACGTAGGAATGAGGTACCGGTATTTTGCTCAATTAAAATTTTGTCAATCAACGAAACCTTGTAATAAAAGGGATGTAATAACTGGAAATATGGAATAACAGTTCAGGGAAATGAAATAACAGGTGGGGGGGAATGGAATAACAGGTGGGGGAAATGGAATAGCAGGTGGGGAAAATGTAATAAAGGTGGTCTGGTTCATTAAATAATTTGGCTTGATGAGGTCACAGAATCTCTACAAATTAAGATGAATGTCTGTACATATTTTACAAAGCATTGACACATGTAGCTATCTTTTAACATTGGATACATCACAAATTTCAATATGGCCATTCACAAAAAAAAAAATGGTTAAAACTTTCTCAATGATAGACAAACTTCCAAAGAATTATTTCCCCGATTCATTCTCGGAGGAAATCCCAACAGCTGTTTCAACAGTTTTCAGGTCCAGTAACTCGGGTAACTCAAGCGCATACTTTAAAACTGCCTGAGAGTTAATGGCTCTAATCTAAAAATAGAACACAGGAGAATCGTAACAACGCCAGGCCTAAGGTGCAGGAGTGACACAGCATTTGTCCAACTGTGCCTGGAGTGACACTGCATTTGTCCAACTGCGCCAGGAGTGACACTGCATTTGTCCAACTGTGCCAGGAGTGACACAGCATTTATCCAACTGTACCTTTCATTCATAAATTATGTTTTACATCACAGATCAAAGTTTCCAACAGATAAATACAAAAGGGTTTTAGCGTAGATGAGTCCAGGCAAGCATTGAAAAAGACCAAACATATTGGTTACTCTTGTAGAGACAGGCTTGTCCGTCTTACTAGGGGACTTTAATGAATCTGATCTGTTTACTAGACAAGCTGGCTGTCTTACTAGGGGACTTATCACGATGAATCTGATCTGTTTAGAATGACAAGCTGGCCATCTTAATGGATTTTAATAAGGGCAGGAATACAGCTTCTGTCCACTATAAAATGTGTCATCCATAAAGTGGGTCACGGAACTTTTTAAAAAAATGGTGGGTTTAATTATTCACAACATAAGTAATTGTCACAGGAAATGTTAAATTCCAATGTGAACTTGTCAGACTACCCCCCCCCCCCAACCACGCCAGCTAAGTATAGCATTAAACCACTGATTAAATAAAATCAAATGACAGGAAAAGAACAAAACAAAAAAAAAAAATCATCCATAAAGTGGGTCACGGAACTTTTTAAAAAAATGGTGGGTTTAATTATTCACAACATAAGTAATTGTCACAGGAAATGTTAAATTCCAATGTGAACTTGTCAGACTACCCCCCCCCCAACCATGTCAGCTAAGTATGGCATTAAACAACTGATTGAATGACATCAAATGACAGGAAATGAACAAAACAAGACAAAAATACATGTTTAGATATCATTACACTGTCTCCTCCCAGCTTCTCGGTTATATCAAAAAATTATAAACATTCCTTGATTCTTACATAAAAATTGCCAGGTTTAAAAAAATATATATTATATAAATGTATAAAAAAACAAGATGTAGAAAATTTTGATTATAACTTTGAACAATAAGCTCACAAAATTAGTTCAAATGAACTACCAACTAAAATATGTCAATACTGGGACTTATGGTGGGACATCTGTTTAAAATAAACATTGTATGACCAAATCAATTTAACAAAAATTAATATCACAAATAACTGGTAGAATCTTAGTTAATCTCCAACCAAATTTCTGACAAAACATACAAGTCAAAAGTTCAGAGAATCTTGTAATGAAATAGTCTTCAAAATTGTGTAAAGGAAAAATTTAATTTCAATGTAAAATCTATGATTCAATGACCTAAAAAATAATTATTTTAAAAAAAATTAATATTTTTTTTAAAAACATCTATTAAAAATCATTGAATCCTTTTATTTGTTGGGATAAAATAGATTTTTGTGAATTTCTTGTAAAGTTGTTGGTCTAAATTTTTACTTGATGCTAAAACTCAAATGAATCAACAGTCTGTTCAATCTCAATGGCACACATCATGTTACAAGAACTTTGCTTAGAGATTACTTAAACCTATACAGTAACAGAAAATAGAGGGGAGAGAACCAGGAAATATTTTAACCTCTTTCCAGCTAACACAGATTCTTTTAGAAAATTTAACATTGATAAAATACGCTAATTTCTCTGTAAAAATTGCAGGACATAAAAAAAAATACAACAACTTATCTTTGGCTTCGAAACAATTAATTTAACTGATCATAGATGATTGCCCCCTTGACAATTTATAAATAACTTACCATTTTTACAAGTCAATGCTAAATATTATAAACAAGAATCTCCCTCTCTCTCTCTCTCTCTCTCTCTCTCTCTATATATATATATATATATATATATATATATATATATATATAAACCATCAAACTGTATATATATATATATATTCTTAAATATATAATATGTTATCGAGTGCCCCCTTGACAATTTATATATATCTTACCATTTTTACAAGTCAATGCTAAATATTATAAACAAGAATCTCTCTCTCTCTCTCTCTCTCTCTCTCTCTCTCTATATATATATATATATATATATATATATATATATATATATAAACCATCAAACTGCATATAAATATATATATTCTTAAATATGTAATATGTGATCTTATTAAATTAAACTTATCACATTCTGTATCAGGTTGAAAAATGCCTTGCTGTAAAATATAAATATCAAAACAAAAAATTTGACTATTGTTATTAAACCTTCTTTTATACAATAAGAAACTGAATAAAAACAAGTTTCTACTGCTGAAAACTGTGGAATGATAATGAACACAATTTAGAAGTAAGACTTGGAATGACTATTTACATCCTTGAACCATACAAAACAAAAAATATCAAAACTTTTTTAAAAAGTTACAAAAATGTATGCAAAGAATTAATATAAAATGGTGGCAGATAATTACAGCTTGTACAAGGCTAATCAAACAAGAATAAAAAAAAAATTTATTGTTAGCTAAAGGGAGATATTTATAAATATTCATTGTTTTTCAGTTCTAGCTTTAACTTTAATCCATTTGTAATATTGTTGAAATGTTCATTGCTGTAATTATCATCATTATTTTATTTTAAATTCAATTATCATGGATATATTATCGAAATTATGAATTTAACATTTCAAAGTTTTTCTTTAGAATTATAAAGATGCAGGGATGACTGGTAAATAAAGTTGAAATAAGATCAATCAGGACATATAATAATGCCATTGGATGCTCTAATAAAGTTGAAATAAGATCTAATAATGAAATGAAAGGACAAAAGATCCTAAGATGTAACTGTAGAAAAAAAACTAAGAAGGATGAATATCTAGAAGCTGGCATATTGTTGAAATAGCTGTAGGTTTTCCCCGGATCTTAGGTCTCGCCAGTTCATTGGCTTTCTATCCCCAGATTGTGGGGTGCATAACCACCAGTGTTGAAAATTGGCTTAGATGTGTCCTGCTATTTGTTATCGATGAGAGTCTGTAGACGTGCAACCAGCTCTCTTGCAATCTTCAGCACTTGCTTTGTGTTGTGGTGCTCAGCCATTTCTGGAAAGAGGATTTTTACAAGGATATCAGCCAAAGGCATTCCATGTTGTTGGGATTATTAATAGCATTGGCTTCAGAATTACAGCAAGTTACACTAGTTGTCTTAAGATCATCTTGGCATCTGGGCTAACGAATGGTTGTCAAACCAATGATGTGACTTGTCACAGTTGTCTACCCTGTGATGTGTAATTGTCCCAGTTGTCTACCCAATGATGTGTAATTGTCACTTTTGTCTAACCATTGATGTGACTTGTCACAGTTCTCTATTATAAGATGAGAATTTAAGAGTTTTCTGCCCTATGATATGACTTGTCACAGATGTCTACCCTATGACCCTATGATGTGACTTGTCACAGTTCACTATTATAAGATGAGAATTGTAAAATTTGTCTACCCATTGATGTGACTTGTCACAGTTGTCTACCCATTGATGTGACTTGTCACAGTTCTCTATTATAAGATGAGAATTTAAGAGTTGTCTTTATTATATGACTTGTCACAGTTGTCTACCCTATGATGTGACTTGTCACAGTTCTCTATTATAAGATGAGAATTGTAAAAGTTGTCTACCCATTGATGTGACTTGTCACAGTTCTCTGTTATAAGATGAGAATGGTAAGAGTTGTCTACCCATTGATTTGACTTGTCCCAGGTGTCTACCCTATGATGTGATTTGCCCCAGTTGTCTACCCAATGATGTGATTTGCCCCAGTTGTCTACCCTATGATGTGACTTGCCCCAGTTGTCTTCCCTATGATTTGACTTGTCTCAGCTATAGACCCAGATACCATGACAGAAAACACATTTTGAAGGGATTGAGAAAAATCATGTTTTCTAGTTAGACACATTTCAACGCTGCATTAAAAAAAAAACTGTGTTTTTCCAGGTGATTTTATCTGAATTTATCAAATTAATTTGTTTGATATTTTGTTTAGGGTGATGTTTTATGGGAAACAATAAATTCTAGGACATTGGGAGGATTTTTTGTTTAGGGTGGTGTTTTATGGGAAACAATAAATTCTAGGACATTGGGAGGATTTTTTGTTTAGGGTGGTGTTTTATGGGAAACAATAAATTCTAGGACATTGGGAGGATTTTTTGTTTAGGGTGGTGTTTTATGGGAAACAATAAATTCTAGGACATTGGGAGGATTTTTTGTTTAGGGTGGTGTTTTATGGGAAACAATAAATTCTAGGACATTGGGAGGATTTTTTGTTTAGGGTGGTGTTTTATGGGAAACAATAAATTCTAGGACATTGGGAGGATTTTTTGTTTAGGGTGGTGTTTTATGGGAAACAATAAATTCTAGGACATTGGGAGGATTTTGTATTAACTACCATTTAATAATGTCACCTACCATTTGATAATGTGATATGTCACCTGCCATTTCATGATGTGATATGTCACCTACCAGTTAATAATGTAGGATGTCACCTACAGTTTAATCTGATATGTCACATACCATTAATGATGTGATATGTCACTTACCATTAAATAATGTAAGATGTCATTTACCATTTAATATTGTGATATGGCGCCCACCATTCAAAAATGTGAGGTGCCACCTACCATTTAAGAATGTGATATGTCACATATCATTTAATACTGTGATATGTCACATATCATTTAATAATGCGATGTGTCACCTACCATTTAAGAATTTAATGCCACCTACCATTAAAAAACTTGATAATGTCTGTGAAGTCCATGTTGTTGTCCAGTATAATGTCACGGTACACCTGGACTAGGGCAAGGGCTATAAACAGTACAAAATGGCTTGAAGTCATGTGCTTGGCAGCCCAGATTGTTTCCCAAACAGAAAAGACATCGTCGTAGATGAGTTCTGTGGGGGCAAAACAATCGAGTTTGAAACTTAAATAAGAAGCAAGTAAATTAGAAGAGTAAAATCAATATAAGAAGGATCAGATTAGACATGGTCTCATTGACAACTGTCACAATGATTGCCCCTTAGAGCCAATCAACAGGACTATATTCATTCATTAGTTCCAGCTAGCCAAATATCTAAACAAGAATCTTAAGTGGGTTACCTCTCTTGAAATCCAGCAAAAACCAACGGTAGCAGAAGTAGAAATGTGTGTAGTCTCCGTGCTGGTGCATGTGCTCAAACAATTCAGAGTCCAGGATCTGGTTGACATAGAGATCCATATCATAGATTAAGTTATAATGCTTTCAATTTTAAATCAGGCTTTATCAAGGTTTCCAAGTATTTGCTCCTAGTGGTGGTGTTTATCAGAATTTAAATAATATTTATTCTTGAAAATATTAACAAATTTTTAAAACATAGCTGTAACAGATAACTATTTGTTTAACACAAAATTAACATTTGTTTTGGACAGAGTGCAGATATCCACTCTACTGGCTTATATAGACAGAGTGCAGATATCCACTCTACTGGCTTATATGGACAGAGTGCAGATATCCACTCTACTGGCTTATATGGACAGAGTACGATATCCACTCAACTGGCTCATATGGACAGAGTGCAGATATCCACTCCATGTCCTAGGTCCCAGTGACAATATTGTATTTTTTTCTTGCACCAGAAGTTTATTTCAGAACGAAGGTAGAGGAAAAAAAAATAAGTAGGAAAGAGGTTGCGAGTGCCAATTTGTATCAAAGATCTCATGTTACTTATACTGACCTGTATCAAAGATCTCATGTTACTTATACTGACCTGTATCAAAGATCTCATGTTACTTATACTGACCTGTATCAAAGATCTCATGTTACTTATACTGACTTGTATCAAAGATCTCATGTTACTTATACTGACCTGTATCAAAGATCCCATGTTACTTATACTGACCTGTATCAAAGATCTCATGTTACTTATACTGACCTGTATCAAAGATCCCATGTTACTTATACTGACCTGTATCAAAGATCTCATGTTACTTATACTGACCTGTATCAAAGATCCCATGTTAATTATACTGACCTGTATCAAAGATCTCATGTTGGCAAAGTGTGTGTCCATTGCTCCACCATGGGGAAAGTTGCAGGACATTCTCTTCATTAACTGGCAGAAACAGCTGTAAGCCAGTGATTCTGTTAGGACACAGACATCATTCAGTTGGGAAACATGCAACATTAAACAAATATATAAATAAAAGTCTGTCCAGTGAGGCTAGTACAAGAATAAAACACTTTTGAATGAGGCTAGTACAAGAATAAAACACTTTTGAATGAGGCTAGTACAAGAATAAAACACTTTTGAATGAGGCTAGTACAAGAATAGAAACACTTTTGAATGAGGCTAGTACAAGAATAAAACACTTTTGAATGAGGCTAGTACAAGAATAAAACACTTTTGAATGAGGCTAGTACAAGAATAAAACACTTTTGAATGAGGCTAGTACAAGAATAAAACACTTTTGAATGAGGCTAGTACAAGAATAAAACACTTTTGAATGAGGCTAGTACAAGAATAAAACACTTTTGAATGAGGCTAGTACAAGAATAAAACACTTTTGAATGAGGCTAGTACAAGAATAAAACACTTTTGAATGAGGCTAGTACAAGAATAAAACACTTTTGAATGAGGCTAGTACAAGAATAAAACACTTTTGAATGAGGCTAGTACAAGAATAAAACACTTTTGAATGAGGCTAGTACAAGAATAAAACACTTTTGAATGAGGCTAGTACAAGAATAAAACACTTTTGAATGAGGCTAGTACAAGAATAAAACACTTTTGAATGAGGCTAGTACAAGAATAAAACACTTTTGAATGAGGCTAGTACAAGAATAAAACACTTTTGAATGAGGCTAGTACAAGAATAAAACACTTTTGAATGAGGCTAGTACAAGAATAAAACACTTTTGAATGAGGCTAGTACAAGAATAAAACACTTTTGAATGAGGCTAGTACAAGAATAAAACACTTTTGAATGAGGCTAGTACAAGAATAAAACACTTTTGAATGAGGCTAGTACAAGAATAAAACACTTTTGAATGAGGCTAGTACAAGAATAAAACACTTTTGAATGAGGCTAGTACAAGAATAAAACACTTTTGAATGAGGCTAGTACAAGAATAAAACACTTTTGAATGAGGCTAGTACAAGAATAAAACACTTTTGAATGAGGCTAGTACAAGAATAGAAACACTTTTGAATGAGGCTAGTACAAGAATAAAACACTTATGAATGAGGCTAGTACAAGAATAAAACACTTTTGAATGAGGCTAGTACAAGAATAAAACACTTTTGAATGAGGCTAGTAGGAGAATAAAACACTTTTGAATGAGGCTAGTACAAGAATAAAACACTTTTGAATGAGGCTAGTACAAGAATAAAACACTTTTGAATGAGGCTAGTACAAGAATAGAAACACTTTTGAATGAGGCTAGTACAAGAATAAAACACTTTTGAATGAGGCTAGTACAAGAATAGAAACACTTTTGAATGAGGCTAGTACAAGAATAGAAACAATTTTGAATGAGGCTAGTACAAGAATAAAACACTTTTGAATGAGGCTAGTGCAAGAATAAAACACTTTTGAATGAGGCTAGTACAAGAATAAAACACTTTTGAATGAGGCTAGTACAAGAATAAAACACTTTTGAATGAGGCTAGTACGAGAATAAAACACTTTTGAATGAGGCTAGTACAAGAATAAAACACTTTTGAATGAGGCTAGTACAAGAATAAAACACTTTTGAATGAGGCTAGTACAAGAATAGAAACACTTTTGAATGAGGCTAGTACAAGAATAGAAACACTTTTGAATGAGGCTAGTACAAGAATAGAAACACTTTTGAATGAGGCTAGTACAAGAATAGAAACACTTTTGAATGAGGCTAGTACAAGAATAAAACACTTTTGAATGAGGCTAGTACAAGAATAAAACACTTTTGAATGAGGCTAGTACAAGAATAAAACACTTTTGAATGAGGCTCGTAGAAGAATAAAACACTTTTGAATGAGGCTAGTACAAGAATAAAACACTTTTGAATGAGGCTAGTACAAGAATAAAACACTTTTGAATGAGGCTAATACAAGAATAAAACACTTTTGAATGAGGCTAGTACAAGAATAAAACACTTTTGAATGAGGCTAGTACAAGAATAAAACACTTTTGAATGAGGCTAGTACAAGAATAGAAACACTTTTGAATGAGGCTAGTACAAGAATAAAACACTTTTGAATGAGGCTAGTACAAGAATAAAACACTTTTGAATGAGGCTAGTACAAGAATAGAAACACTTTTGAATGAGGCTAGTACAAGAATAGAAACACTTTTGAATGAGGCTAGTACAAGAATAAAACACTTTTGAATGAGGCTAGTACAAGAATAAAACACTTTTGAATGAGGCTAGTACAAGAATAAAACACTTTTGAATGAGGCTAGTACAAGAATAAAACACTTTTGAATGAGGCCAGTTTATGTTTAGCTAATATGGAAACATAATCAATAACTTTACCATCATCAAAGATGACCAACAGTGGAGCAACGAGATCACACATGCCCTGGACGTAACCAACATCCAAATGCTGCCACACGTACCTGAAAACACATGCCTAAACACATCAACACCCATCTCAGGGAAGAAATTAATCCAATTTTTTTAATTAATCCATCCAAAGTTCTAAAATAATCCAATTTTTTAAATTAATCTTATTTTTTAAATTAATCTTATGTCTAAATTAATCCAATGTTCTAAATTAATCCAATGATTTAAATTAATCCAATGGTTTAGTCTTTTTAATTAATCCAATGATTTAAATTAATCCTATATTCTAAATTAATATGGCACTATGACTGCTTCTAACTGAATCTAATATTAATATGATACAAATTTCATTTAAGATGTGAGAATTTGCACTGATTTCTAGAATAGAACAATGGAATCTGGTGACTACTTACGTGCACATAATATTGCGTAGCTTGTCAAGGTTCTCACAGTTAAAATAATGATAGTTTCTGTCACATCTCTGTACGTCCTTGTCAATACGATGAAGGTTTAGCGCCACACTATCCAACAATTCAGCCTGAAAACACATGACATAACAGTCAGACATAAGATAATAGTCTTAAATATTTTCTGCAGTCAGACTTCTTACAAAATGTTGTGTAGTCAAATGTGTAAAAGTTTGTTGTGTAGTCTGAAATATCTTGAAGATGATGTCTAGTAGTTACATTCATTTTAGGCCTGAGAACCATTCGGCAATGTTGAAATAAATTTGTATTCATTGTACAAGTATTGTTTTTTTAAAACCAGTTCATCCTGACATAATACTACATGCTCAATTAATGCTGTTCCAAAGTCACACATTTCTCTTCAATGAAACATCTCGGTTTAGAGATCTTGTTTAAGATAGGCGGAATGCAACAGTATTGCCAGTTTGTAGAAATCTGCTGTAAGAGGAATGCACCTGTGTATTGCCAGCTTATAGAAATCTGCTGTAAGAGGAATGCACCTGTGTATTGCCAGTTTATAGAAATCTGCTGTAAGAGGAATGCACCTGTGTATTGCCAGCTTATAGAAATCTGTTGTTTTGCTGATTGTTAGTTGACCATTGGGGCTATTTTACTCTGTCATTAAATACAAGTGTTGTACAGAAAACTTATACAACACTCATTAGAATTTTGGGCTGTAATTCCATAGAATATATATAGTGTCCTCGTTTTATAGCCATTTTAATTGTTTCTATAGTATAGTCGTTACTATCCTAGTGTCTCATTTTTACTTAGTTTACATGTTTTTAATAATTGTAAAGCGCTTAGAGCTTTAAGGTAAGCGCTATATAAAAAATGCCTAAATAAATAAAGAAAGAAAGAACTACTGTGGTCCAGTGAAAAGGAAAAAAATAGCAGATTAGTTCAGTAATCAGCCAACTTAATTGAATGGCCTTTTAACTAAATTTTGTAATCCCTTTGCAACTATTTTTTTTTAATCAACTTTAAATAAATTGTTGATACTGACTAGAGTTATCATTGACTTAAGAGTTGGTAAACATCAATAGAAATCACATTAAAAGTCATCAAACAATTCAGGCAATATTTAAAATATAAGTGAGTGTTTGATCAATTTAAATAACAATTTTCTTTTTCCTAAGTAAGTGTTTGATCAATTTAAATAGCAATGATCTTTTGCCTAAGTAAGTGTTTTGATCAATTTAAATAACAATGATCTTTTGCTTAAGTAAGGGCTTTATCAATTTAAATAACAATGATCTTTTGACTGTCACTATTTAAGAGGATGTGTACAGTTCACATTGTTCATTTATCTTAATATGGACTATTGAGAGTATAATTCACATAAGCCCATAAAGCCTTGAGTAGCAATGCATAAAAAGTCCTGTATTGAATGAGACAGTTGTGAAATGTAATGGTATATCTTCATGCAAAAACTAAGTACCACATACAGTTTCCCCGCTAAAACATAAAATGGTTTAGTTACAATTTGTCAAAGAGCAGGCAAATTGCATAAATCACTATTTCATGTGTTAAATAAGACAAAAATCTCCTCAAATGGCCACATGTGAAACATATCAGAGTGCAGTACCAATGCCAGTGCACTAAAGCTTTGACTGAAAGCTCCTGTGAGACAGATTCACTAATGTGCTACACAATGACGTTCACACGGCTCAACTAGGATCACAGAGGGATTACCAGGCATTTTTCTAGAACCCAAGATGGAGCATCTGAAACTTGCCCAGCAACAAAACTTACAGAATAAATCCCTCCATTGGAAGCAGGAGATGCAGGGGAGAGTAGACTTTCTCGACTGGCTGACAGGTGACCTCTGACCTCTGGTGATACAAAAAAATAATACTCTAGCTAAACAAATAAGCTCTAGATTGGCTAAAGGAGTAATAGACTACGGTTAAACTTGTAAACAACACAAACAAGTTCTTTTTAATGTAAACAACAATGGTTTTACACCCCTGTGCCTACAGCTGATGGACACAATGACAGTTTAAAACTCATGTTATAACCCCTGTGCCTACAGCTGATGGACACAATGAGAGTTTAAAACTCATGTTATCACCCCTGATCCACAGCTGATGTATACAATGAGAGTTTAAAACTCATGTTATCACCCCTGTGCCTACAGCTGATGTACACATTGAGAGTTCAAAACTCATGTTATCACCCATGATCCACAGCTGATGTACACATTGAGAGTTCAAAACTCATGTTATCACCCATGATCCACAGCTGATGTACACATTGAGAGTTCAAAACTCATGTTATCACCCATGATCCACAGCTGATGTACAAATTGAGAGTTCAAAACTCATGTTATCACCCATGATCCACAGCTGATGTACTTGTGTCTAACAATATAAAAAAGATCAATCCAATCAGTCCCATGTCAAGCGATGCTTACCTAATCCAGGTTCATAATCCTGGGCTGCCCTTGGTTCTAGGCTTGACCTGCTTGTGGTCATTGAGTCAGGTTTACTGGAGCTGTCCGCATCATCGAGAGCTGAATTTGTCCTAGACTTGACCTCTTCAACACGGGTATTTGCATTTTCTTCATCTAACACGGCACTGTCCACTGAAAGCTTGGTTGTCATGGTGATGCGGTCGGTGACGTCAGCAGGCAGTGACCTGGGTGTCAATGGTGTTAGAAACCCTGAGTCTCCAACAGAGTCTGTCTTGGATCTGCTGTGTTGAAATAATGTTTTCACAGGGCTTGTGCACATAAAGTCAGGGCTTATGTATATAAAGTCAAGGCTTGTGTACACAAAGTCAGGGCTTGTGTACACAAAGTCAGGGCATGTCATGTTGAATATGAACTTTTTAAACATATTTTACATTGGGACACCCTATTGGTAAATGACATTTCATTGAGACACCCTGCATCTAATGGTAAATGGTTAAAGTACTTCGATCTACATTTCCCACTACCAATGTTCACGACATATGTAAGTAAAGCAGCGGTTATTGGAAATTGATAATTGACGCATCACCCAGTCTAAGCCCCATATACCCATATCTTAAGTGACCTGGTCAGTTACACAGTGATCCTTAACTTTATAACTGAGTTTAACCCGGGAAGAGTGACCTATTTACTGCGACCTACTTATCTGTCTCTGTAGTTGTGGAGCCACCACGTGCTATAGAGTCACCGAGCCCATCATCTGGGCTGTCCTGCAGTGAAATGCCTTTCTTAACGACCATGGGAGGAGTCTCTGTCCCCACAGCCCTGTCTATTCCTGTTGTGATGGACAGCTCCATGCTGGTTTTCCTGTCCGACGATGGAGTGGTGCGAGCAGTTGAGCTCTCTTCCACGACAGTCTCTGGTCTTGATAACTCCTCCGATTCAAAGGACACAAAAACCTGGCCAATGTTGAAAGTCTGAGTTAATGATCTCTTGGTGTGTCATTAGAGATCATAGTGTTTCATAGAGGCACTTTTTTTTCCATACTGGCCAGTACAATCATTGTTTTATTGTTGTTTTGAAAAATTACAAGTAAACTAATGGGTCCAGAATGTATGGAAAACAAAGACTTAAAAAATTACAAATATACTCATGGGTCCAGAATATAGGAAAACATACTTAAATAATTACAAGTTTACTCATGGGTCCAGAATATAGGAAAACAGACTTAAATAAAGACAAGTTTACTCATGGGTCCAGAATATAGGAAAACAGACTTAAATAATTACAAGTTTACTCATGGGTCCAGAATATAGGAAAACAGAGACTTAAATAATTACAAGTTTACTCATGGGTCCAGAATATAGGAAAACAGAGACTTAAATAATTACAAGTTTACTCATGGGTCCAGAATATAGGAAAATACAGACTTAGAAATGTCTCCCCACCATAATTAGCTGATGTCAACTTGTGCCATCCTGATACATGTCTCCCCACCATAATCAGCTGATGTCAGCTTGTGCCCTCCTGATACATGTCTCCCCACCATAATCAGCTGATGTCAGCTTGTGCCCTCCTGATACATGTCTCCCACCATAATTAGCTGATGTCAGCTTGTGCCCTCCTGATACATGTCTCCCACCATTATCAGCTGATGTCAGCTTGTGCCCTCCTCATAAATTTTTCCCCGTCATTTGTTTTTTTCCATTCCGCCTGATTGAACTCAAACATACCCAGAATTCTCCTGATGTTGGTGTCTCAGGTGCACTGAACCCCATCGTGATACATTTCAAATATATTAATAGTGAACCATCAATCAATGTTAAAGATTAAACACAACCATTAGGATTGAAGAGCTGCAGCTGTTAAAGCAGACAGAAAGAGATGGAGCTGCACAAGGCATACACCAGAAGCCTGCTGGATACTGAATCGCGAAAGCTTCCGGCCTCTAGAACATAGGCGACCACACCACAATACCATAAACATCCATTCACAACATTGTCCTCAGTCCTAGCCAGGCTTTAGAAGTGCACAATATCAAATGTACAAAACAATGCATCTAAACAACAGAGACATCTAGCATCTTGTCAGTGATAACATGTGAGAAACAATAGAAGAATGAGTCCTAGGAAATAAATGGTTGCTTTCACTGCCTAGACCAATATATAAGACCTAAAGCTACATCTAGAAACATATAGCAACACTGTGTTTTTAACAATAAGCACAACCTCTACAAAAGTTAGGACTGCCTGCATAAACTCTGTGACGAAAAAAAAAAAAAAAGCATATCTATTTACATCTGTTTCAAATAGTTCTATAGATTGTGCTTGGTCAATGTTATACAGATGGGTGGTCGCTCACCTCATTGCTCAAACTGGAATCCTTTCTGACCAGTGGGATGTGACCGTCCGTGCTCTCCTGTGATAGTTTCACCAGATTGGCCGCTATAACTTCCTTGTCCCGCTGGCGTATGATGGCCTCCACAGCCAACCACTCGGACATGACCTTCTCGTACTCTGTCCTGACTGCTTGTTCCAACCCTTCTCTTTCCTCTGGTGAACTGCCAAACTTATGATGACCCAGAAGATATGGCCAGACCTGAGACAACAGATAAACAAGTGGTGGTCATTTAGATTCGGATGTATGGAATAAACCATGGACAGACCTGAGGCAACATACAAACAAGTGGTGGTCATTTAGATTAGGATGATGGAATACACAATTCAAATCTGATCAGGAAAAAAAACAGTTAAATTTTAGAATTCTAAATCAAAACACATTTGTTAACTCAAAGCTTGCTACTAATGTTTGTCGACTCAAGGCCTGCTACTTATGTTTGTTAACTCAAAGCTTGCTACTAATGTTTGTCGACTCAAGGCCTGCTGCTAATGTTTGTTAACTCAAAGCTTGCTACTAATGTTTGTCGACTCAAGGCCTGCTGCTAATGTTTGTTAACTCAAAGCTTGCTACTAATGTTTGTTGACTCAAGGCCTGCTGCTAATGTTTGTTAACTCAAAGCTTGCTACTCATGTTTGTTGATGCAAAGCCTGCTACTTAACTTCATTTGACTTAACCTGGAAAACTGAACTTTGTAAAACAAAATGTTAAGTTGTTTTTTTTTGTTTTCTTTAATTTTAATTAAAAATATTTTTTAAATTTCTAGAGAACAAGAAAATGTCTGACTGAATATGAAACGTCTAGGTCATGTCAATATGTCTAAGTATTTCTTGGGTTAGGGTTAATTTAAATAAAGATGCTGGATGATTGGTTATTTTTTAAAAAATCACTGACTATTTAAAAGATTAGGAATTGGGATATCTAACTGTACAAACCTGTTTCCTGAGATTATGAGCAACACCACCAAAGTAGACCAATCTATAGACTTCAGATGAGTTGGTTACCTGAAAGAAAAAGTCACAATATGGTTACCTAACTGACAAAGTCATAATATAGTTCCCTTCAAAGGTCACAATATAGTTTCCTTGCTGACAAAGTCATGATATAGTTCCTCAACTGACAAAGTCACAATAAAGTTCCCTGAAAAATTCCCATTATACTTCACTGATGGCCAAAGTCACAATAACTTTAATAATTAAAGTATATTACTAATCCAAGTGTTTTAAACTTTGGCCCCTAATAATACAAGAGAAGGTAACTCACGATGCCATCCTGACACAACTGACTCCACATTTCAGCTGTCACGCCCACCTTGCCATCTAATGGACTATCCTCAGACACAGCAGCATGGTAGACAAGTCCTGACAGGTGGGTGCGGACTGTTTTCAGGTGTCTGCAGTGGGCCAGCCCTTACAGGCAGTAAGTGAACAGCAATGTCAGTAAATGGGCAGTAACACAATAATAACCCAATTACAGTAGTCAGTCACACAAGAATAATACTTTACAGTAGAGTCAGTCACAAATGAATTATAAATACTACTACGGCAGAGTCAGTCACACATAAGGTATTTATAGGTGATATTTACCCGCATCCCACAATTTAATGTTGATTGAAAAAAATGACATTTTCAGACCGGTTTACCCTCAAACACTTAAAATCATACAATATCGACAAAATCGTTCAATACATTATCTTTATAGTAAGATATAACCATACAGTATATATGATATATACACCTCAAAATCGTACATTGTACGCCAAAATCGTAAAACTAAACAGGTCTGCAATTTATGACCAGGGAAAAATCCACCTCTCTGATCCATGTTTACAAAATAGTTATTTATCCAATGTTTTATTACATTAAATATATGTTAACTTCACAAACCTCCTAGGTGTCTTAAGGGATGTCTCTCTTATCTGGTCCAAGGGTTCTTGGGTTTAAAACTGGTGTCAACCCGTATGTGACTAGGTAATTGTTTCCATCAACAAAACTAGGTAATTATTTCCACCAACAAAACTAGTGTTAACCCATATGTGACTAGGTAATCATTTCCACCAACAAAACTGGTGTTAACCCATATGTGACTAGGTAATTATTTCCATCAACAAAACTGGTGTTAACCCATATGTGACGAGGTAATTATTTCCAACAACAAATTGTCTACTTACATCCATAGAAAGCTCGAGATATAATTTGTTTTGTCATAATATCACACAACTGCTTGATATGGTTCCTAAAGGCAAAAATGTACATTTATATTTAATGCAGAAACTGAATACAATCAACTGAGAGCAAATAAAATCAATGGCACATTACTTGTAATGAACCCCTTTAGATCCATTGACATGGGCTTCATTAGCAAAATTAAACCATTTTTTTTCCTCAAACTTATTAAATTCATATATCAAAAAAAGTTATATTAAAAAAAAAAATAATAATAATTTTTCAAGATATTTCTTTAAATTAAAAAAAAACATTAAATATTTTAATGAGATGGCTCAATACATATATATATACACATATATAAATATATATATAACTTTTACATATTTAGTTTTTATTTTAATTTTAAAGTGTATCTTACAAAGCAACTAACGCGTATTCAATAATTTGTCAAGCCATACAAAACTTAACAAGAGATGTTTTCAACTCAAATAAAACACAAGCATAACATGCAGTGTATACATCATATTAGACCAACTTTAAACGCTTCAATCAAGAATGACAGAAAATATACAGAAGACTTCCTTGATTGTTATTTGATTGCATTCCATTTTAGAACCAAGATTACGATCAATTCCAAAACTATGTCAACCACTAAATTTTGTTTTTTTAAACAAACAAAAAAATGGAGCGTCATTCACATTTCAAATAGAAAAAGTTCAATGATGGCAGCATAACATTATAACAAATAAAGGCAGATGACTTGCTGTCTTTGTCAAGTCATGTCAATATTTCTATGTCAAGTAATGCCAGTAAAGCCTAATCTGTAAATATTGAAGCTGTCAAAAACATTGTCATTCAGGTGACCCCATTTGTGTCTGTTTTTGTTCAACAAGGCTTTTTCATGCAAGTGACCCCACTATATTATAAGCTGGGTTTACAGAAATGTTATAAACATTATATCATGATCTGGGTGTACAGTACCATTGTTAACAAAATATCATGATCTGGGTGTACAGTACCATTGTTAACAAAATATCATGATCTGGGTGTACAGTACCATTGTTAACAAAATATCATGATCTGGGTGTACAGTACCATTGTTAACACTATATCATGAGCTGGGTGTACAGTACCATTGTTAACACTATATCATGAGCTGGATGTACAGTACCATTCTTAACAAAATATCATGATCTGGGTGTACAGTACCATTGTTAACAAAATATCATGAGCTGGGTGTACAGTACCATTGTTCACAAAATATCATGATCTGGGTGTACAGTACCATTGTTAACAAAATATCATGAGCTGGGTGTACAGTACCATTGTTAACAAAATATCATGATCTGGGTGTACAGTACCATTGTTAACAAAATATCATGATCTGGGTGTACAGTACCATTGTTAACAAAATATCATGATCTGGGTGTACAGTACCATTGTTAACAAAATATCATGATCTGGGTGTACAGTACCATTGTTAACAAAATATCATGATCTGGGTGTACAGTACCATTGTTAACAAAATATCATGATCTGGGTGTACAGTACCATTGTTAACAAAATATCATGATCTGGGTGTACAGTACCATTGTTAACAAAATATCATGATCTGGGTGTACAGTACCATTGTTAACAAAATATCATGATCTGGGTGTACAGTACCATTGTTAACAAAATATCATGATCTGGGTGTACAGTACCATTGTTAACAAAATATCATGATCTGGGTGTACAGTACCATTGTTAACAAAATATCATGATCTGGGTGTACAGTACCATTGTTAACAAAATATCATGATCTGGGTGTACAGTACCATTGTTAACAAAATATCATGATCTGGGTGTACAGTACCATTGTTAACAAAATATCATGATCTGGGTGTACAGTACCATTGTTAACAAAATATCATGATCTGGGTGTACAGTACCATTGTTAACAAAATATCATGATCTGGGTGTACAGTACCATTGTTAACAAAATATCATGATCTGGGTGTACAGTACCATTGTTAACAAAATATCATGAGCTGGGTGTACAGTACCATTGTTAACAAAATATCATGATCTGGGTGTACAGTACCATTGTTAACAAAATATCATGAGCTGGGTGTACAGTACTGTAACACATCAAGAGGGAGATTTAACACTTTATCATGAGTTGAATGTAAAGAACTGATATTAACACTATATCATCAACATATCAAGAGGAAGATTCAACACTATATCATGAGTTGGGTGTATAGAAGTGTTATCATCAAGAGGGAGTTTGAAACACTAAAGTATAAAGCAGAGACTGACCGAATGTGATTTTCGGGTTTAGGCAGAAACCAAAAAACAAACCAAAAGTCAAAACCAAAGCCAAAACTGAAACCAAAACCTTAAAGGGGCTTTTGGCCAACACTTACACCAAAAGATATTTAACCCAGCACAAGATTTAAAAACTATGTCGTAAAACAATGATGCAATATAAAATTCAAAATTATCAACAATACTTTTATAATTAGTAAGCTATCCGTAATCCAGAAATAATAAATTTAAGATCCTAAACTTGCAGTATGGGTCTCTAAAAGGCAATTACTTCAGTGTTAATTGGTTGGTAATTGAACTCAAACAAACGAATGCTGCAGTTCAGAAAATACAGTTTCTTCATATTATTTACAGTTGCCAATGACAATCAAAATGAACGTCATAAACAAATGAATTGAATAAACCTAGGATTCCCGAATTTCATTTAGTTTTAGTTTTTTTTAATTTAAAACAAAATTAACAATAGAAATGTTACCATTCCCTTAGTTATTTTTTTCCCACGTTTCCTAAGCCTAAATGTAATTTTATTTTTTGGGATTATTGGACAAATAGATCATCATGCAGCTGTGAGCAGTGCTTGTGGAGGATTGGTCATATTTCATACTATGACAACGAGATGTCAAGCAATAATAAATATCAGGTTGCCGCCCAACAGACAGAGTGATAGTCTGATTTCTGCTAGCTACCGAAAGCCTAAATCACTTTCGACTGAAACGTAAAATCAACCGAAAGTAAGCTTTTGTTTCTGCCAAAACCAAAACTACGCCAAAAGTGATCATATGGCAACTTTTGGCACCGAAACAGATATTCAGTCGCGCCTATAGTATAAATCATTAGGTGGGGAAATGGAAATAAATTACTCATGCTGTAAGCTAGTAGTAATTTGTGAAGTTGACATGTATTGGTACACGGTTATGTGCCCAGACACCTGGCAAAACTCAACATGACTCACATCATTTCACAGTCTAGAACAGTGTTTCCCTAAATTTCGACATCTGTGTACACCTGACTATAATTTTCGTAACCCTGAATACCACTCGTTTAAAAAAAATGGTATATACTTCAATAACCATGAAAAAAAATTTTTTTTCCCTTTGCAGGGCATACCCCCACCAAACTGTTCCCATACCCCCAGGGGTACAACACCACACTTTGGGAAACACTGGTCTAGAGAGATGTATGAAACCAAAAGTAATATAAGTTTTATCAAACATGGAGAAAAGAACAAGTTTCCAAATCACTGCAGAAAGCAAGTCATAAAAAACACCACTGTATAACGAACAATGCATTCCTCACAAATAAAAAAACAACGAAACAATATGTTTTTCAATTGTAACACATACAAAGCAATAAACCAAACATAGTTGTACAACACTTACGTACATATAGCCATAGTACCTATGGGTGCCATCGTTGGAAGCCTGAACCAAACACGTGTTGTTCTGTTCTTCCTGTGTACGTGCATAGGACTGGACAGACGTTCTGACCAATGGGCTGGGAGGAAGCTGTCGACGAACCGGCCACGGTGATCTTTCAGGTGAGGAAGGGGATCGTGGTGAGGAGGGGGCCCAAGGGGCTTTTGGGTCGAGCATTTCTGGTGCTGGAAAATTGAGATCAAGCAATACATATGAGGAAAAAATAATTTAAGCGAGAATTCAAATATTTTTTTTAATGTTCAGTCTGCTGCCAGAGAACCAAGTATCTATGGTAAATATTTTTTGTAAGCTGCAGTATTTGTGATTAAATAACAAGTAAATGTTTTTTAGAAGGACAGTTTAAAAAAAACATTTATAACTCAGGTATTTAATTATTTTATAACTAAAAAAAAAAAAAAACTAAAAAAATTAAGAAATGTTTATAATATTCCTTTAGGTCAGGCCACAAAACTCAAAATAAATTTAAAAAAAACATTTATAACTCAGGTATTTAATTATTTTATAAATAAAAAAAAAAAAAAACTAAAAGAATTAAGAGATGTTTATAATATTCCTTTAGGTCAGGCCGCACAACTCAAAATAAAAGGAGGGCCGTAATACTTTATGAAAATCTTGTGCGAGTCGATAGAAAATAGGACAGGGGGAAAGCTATGAAGAAAATAATAATAAAGGATATTTCGTTGCTTTGCGGGCCACAAAGTGGCTGCTGGTGTGCCATATGTTGTGCAGGCCTGCTTTAGTTCATCGCTAACTATTTCAATTTAAAGTTAACTGGAAGATATCTGTTCTTTGGCTATAATTATTATACTTAGTAATAAGTGTGTGAATTGGGACCCACTGCATCCTTACAAGAGGGACACACTTAAATGTAATTTGAATTATTCATAAACCAGAACACTAGGATAATAAGGCCACATTTTTCTTAAAATGAATTTGTGTGTGTGTGTAAAATCTGGATCCTTTAATTTTAAAGATTATAGAATAGCAAACAACTCCTATAAGCCTTGAAATTAGTATCAGTAAGTCAAACAGAAACCAGGCTTTCAAAACAAGTCGAAATAAATTATTATTTAATGCTGAGGCTATTGAAGGGACTCAAAAAGTTGCTGAAAGTTAGTGATAAAGAGATAAACTCAGACTTATTTTAACATGTCCTAAGAAAGAAAGAAGGATGGATATATAAAACAAAAAAACAATAAGAAATAACATGTCTTCCCATCCCAACACTTTCACACGTCTTCCCATCCCAACACTTTCACACATCTTCCCATCCCAATACTTTCACACATCTTCCCATCCCAACACTTTCACACATCTTCCCATCCCAACACTTTCACACATCTTCCCATCCCAACACTTTCACACATCTTCCCATCCCAACACTTTCACACGTCTTCCCATCCAAACACTTTCACACGCCTTCCCATCCCAACACTTTCACACGTCTTCCCATCCCAACACTTTCACACGTCTTCCCACCCCAACACTTTCACACGTCTTCCCATCCCAACACTTTCACACGTCTTCCCATCCCAACACTTTCACACGTCTTCCCATCCCAACACTTTCACACGTCTTCCCATCCCAACACTTTCACACGTCTTCCCATCCCAACACTTTCACACGTCTTCCCATCCCAACACTTTCACACGTCTTCACATCCCAACACTTTCACACGTCTTCCCATCCCAACACTTTCACACGTCTTCCCATCCCAACACTTTCACACGTCTTCCCATCCCAACACTTTCACACGTCTTCCCATCCCAACACTTTCACACGTCTTCCCATCCCAACACTTTCACACATCTTCCCATCCCAACACTTTCACACGTCTTCCCATCCCAACACTTTCACACGTCTTCCCATCCCAACACTTTCACATGTCTTCCCATCCCAACACTTTCACATGTCTTCCCATCCCAACACTTTCACATGTCTTCCCATCCCAACACTTTCATGGACTTCATTAGCCTGACAGGTTTGATGGAGGCTATAGGCTTAATTAGCTGACAGATTTGATGAAGGCTATAGGCTTAATTAGCCTGACAGGTTTGATGGAGGCTATAGGCTTAATTAGCTGACAGGTTTGATGGAGGTTATAGGCTTAATTAGCTGACAGGTTTGATGGAGGCTATATTCTTAATTAGCTGACAGGTTTGATGGAGGCTATAGACTTAATTAGCCTGACAGGTTTGATGAAGACTATGGACTTAATTAGCCTGACAGGTTTGATAGAGACTAGGGACTTACTTAGCATGTCAGGTTTGAAGGAGGCTATGATCCTAAAGACATAGTCAGCAGCCTCTTCTTCATCCATGCTGGTAGTGCTTCCACTGCTGGTGCTGCTGCTGCTGGACAAGCGACTACCCTTTCGACGGAGTTTAGGGAACACTTTGCCTGTAAGAGAAATACTAAAATAAGTTACCATCAGATCTTCATAGAGATTTTTTTGTACAGTCAGTTTGGTATCCAATCATAACATCACTGATAAAGCAGGGATCCAATCATCACATCACTGATACAATAGGAACTAATCATAACATCACTGATAAAGCAGGGATCCAATCATCACATCACTGATACAGTAGGAACTAATCATAACATCACTGATAAAGCAGGGATCCAATCATCACATCACTGATACAGTAGGAACTAATCATAACATCACTGATAAAGCAGGGATCCAATCATCACATCACTGATACAGTAAGGATCTAATCATAAAAAAAGCTGATACAATTAATGGCAAAAAAACACTAGGACACCTGATATTTATTTGAAAAAATCTGTTGGTCTTATTTTGGTCTTTTCAATATTTCAGATGTCTTGTGTTTTAATTGTTATAATTGTAAAATGTTGTCCTGGTTTAAATATGTATTTATTTATGTGCTGAAAATAATAATAATAACGTTTATTTGAAAAAATCACGCTTCATCCCCAAAGGCTCGAAGCAAAATGAATATGTACAAAGTAATCAAAAAACATTTTAATATATTTGGATCAATTAAGTATCTTTTCTTATTTTATTACAAAGCATCTTATCTTATTACAAAGTATCACTCATTCATACAAAGGAAAAATATTTATCATATTTGTGATCTTTTCAAATCAAATTTTAGCTCTAGATACTTATGTACATCTATCATTGTTCAGTTTCTTTAAGTTTGAAGATGGTCATTATAAAAGGCTGTGTCTGTAATATATATTTGTTGTTTTTTTTTTGTTTTCAACTAAGTCACCAGGTTTGAATGCACTCATCGATCAACGGATACAACAGTGATAAATATGTTTAAACAAACTTTTTGTGGGTGCAGCCCCAGTGAAGTTTTACTTTATTATGAAGACCCAACGACATAGTTCCCTAGTCTTCCCATGACATAGCCCTAGACCCTATGACATATTTCCCTAGTCTTCCCATGACATAGCCCTAGACCCACATGACATAGCCCTAGACCCACATGACATAGCCCTAGACCCACATGACATAGTTCCCTAGTCTTCCCATGACATAGCCCTAGACCCACATGACATAGTTCCCTAGTCTTCCCATGACATAGCCCTAGACCCACATGACATAGTTCCCTAGTCTTCCCATGACATAGCCCTAGACCCACATGACATAGTTCCCTAGTCTTCCCATGACATAGCCCTAGACCCACATGACATAGTTCCCTAGTCTTCGCATGACATAGCCCTAGACCCACATGACATAACCCCTAGACCCACATGACATAGCTCCCTAGACCCCCATGACATAGACCCTCGTCCTCCATGACCCCAAAGTTGGGCATCACTGTTGTAACACATCAACAATGAACCACTCAGCGGCACTCTTGCCATATATATACAGGGTGGGCCAAAAAAAGTGAGAACATCTCGTAAAATATTACGCTACGAAATGTTCTCACTTTTATTGGCCCACCCTGTATATATATATCACTATTGTAATATATTTCTTATCCAAATTATTTTAACATGCCAGGATCCACACACAAGTCATAAATTGGAACTCATTTTATCATCTGTCCTTAAGACATAACTTGGTTAAAAAATTATATATGTACCATTTTCAAAGCACAAGGAAAACAGACCAGGAAATAAAGCAGCCAATATAGTGAGGTGACTAAAAGCTGAAGATCAGAAAGGGAGGTGAGGAGAAAGGTGATCACTTGCCCGTATTTTTACCTTTTCCCTTCTGTGACCAAAGAGGGGGATCTAGCTGACCATTTGGTTGGAGTCCATTTTCCAAGCAGGAGAGAAAAGACAAAAGATGGCCTCCCTTAGGAAAATGGATTGGCGGTCGCTGGACACCATCTTGACCTACCAAGACTACAGTTCCACGGCAATCAGCTGATTGGAAAATAACAAATGGCATCAGTAAACTATATCTTACGCGGCTGGTGGCGGTGATGTAAACTATATCTTACATTGCTGGTGGCAGTGAATGCAAAATATATCTTACGGTGCTGGTGGTGGGCAATATAAACTATAACTTATGTTGCTGGTGGCAGTGAATATAAACTATATCTTATGTTGCTGGTGGCAGTGAATATAAACTATATCTTATGTTGCTGGTGGCGGTGAATGTAAAAATATCTTACGTTGCTGGTGGCAGTGAATATAAACTATATCTTCCAAGTAGATGGTCATAGCAAACTCCCAGAATTGGCTGAAAAAGACAACAGATTTTTAAATAATTTGTTTTTAAAAAAATATTTTTCTGCATCCATTTCTATTTTGTTTAATTGTTTTAAAAATATCAACTTCATTATCTTCCTGTCAATCATGGGTGGGGGGTTGTCAAAACATCTCATGACTATCATACCAAAGCGAAGTTGTAATACTTTGATGGAATAAGAGCAATAAAAGAAGTTAATTTTAAAAAGTGACTCTTTAAATTTCTGTTATTTTTTATTTATTAACATAATCACATATTTTACATTATGGAGAAAAAAAATTATGAACCTTAAAAGGGACAAAATGACTATTCAAATATTTTTCTCTTCTTTGACATAAATTTTTTAACAAAAATACAAATATGACTATTGGTGTTGACCTACTATCATGTATGTCAGTGTATTATGACTATTGGTGCTGACCTATCATGTATGTCAGTGTATTGACTATTGGTGCTGACCCACTATCATGTATGTCCGTGTATTATGACTATTGGTGCTGACCTTCTACCATATGATCATGTCAGTGTGCTATGACTATTGGTGCTGACCTCCCATCATATGATCATGTCAGTGTGCTATGACTATTGGTGCTGACCTCCTATCATATGATCATGTCAGTGTGCTATGACTATTGATGCTGACCTTCTATCAGTCTCATCCGCTGTGTCCTCACAGCACCCATTCATCAGCTGGTTGGGGGTCCACATGATGATCAGACCATCTGAACTTTGATGCAGTGACAGGTAGCCTGCCAGGGCTTCTTTGTCTTCTCTCTGGTCACAGCAACACAAAAATTAAGCACAAGTTATATCAGCTGAAGAACAGATTTGATCAGCTCCTCATTCTCACCATTATATTAAAAATCTCTCAATGTGGCTATTAAGATATGACTACCACAAACTTTTCTATTGCTTTTGGTGAAGAAGAGCCAACCTACTGCAAGTAATTTTATTTAAGTTAAAAAGAAAGCATTCTATATCGTGACGTGTGAATTTTTGGGGTCCTGTGCCCCTAATTCATTTCAAACTTGAGGAACACAACCCTGAATAAAAATGCACGTCAAATCTGATGCGCGTAAAACTTTGCAAAAGCCCCAAATTAACAAGAAGGCACTTCAGGTGTACTTATCTAATATTAGGAGACCATCAATAAAAGGGAAGTTGCACATGTTTCTCTTGAAACAGTAACCAGCTAATTTTAATATTTATTATGTTGGCTGCAGGTGCTATGAAAACAAAGTTAAAGAAAACAAAGATGGTAGATACAGAGGGGGCCAATAAATATAGGACAGTTAACCAAGCCATCAAAAAAGGTATGAGAAGGGCAAAGAAGAACTGGATTGAAGAGCAATGCTACGAAATTGAAAACAGCTTGAAGAAAAACATTAGCAAAAAGGCATACCAGTTGGTGAAAAAGCTAAGCACTGCAAAGCAAGGCATAGTACTACCATACAAGACAAAAATGGTAGATGTTTGACTGAGGAAAATGATATCCTAAAAAGATGGACTAAATACTGCTCAGGGCTGTATAATGAAAATATAAAGATAGACCCAGAGATCCTTAATGTCTCTCCAGCAACGGAAAATGAAAACTACCCTATTCTCAGTGCAGAAGTAGTGCATAGTGCAGAAAACAGAGAGGAATGGAGAAGGATAGTTTTCATGACATCTCTGGCGCCCCAACGGTCCAAGGACGAAAGGACATGATGATGACGAGATGCTATGACATAAAAAAGATTTCAGCTTTTTTTTTTCATAATATTTAATTGTCTGAGAGCATCTTGTTCATTAAATAATGGTAAGTGGATTGAATAATTTTTAGTGGGTACAGACACCCAATTTCAATGTAACACAAAGACCAATGTCCTTGTTGCAAGAGATTTTAAAATGATGAATGATTTAGTCTGTTAGTATTGGACATTGAATATATATAATTATTATCAATTAAGAAGATAGATCATACTATTTTAATATAAATAAAGTAGTCACTACTTAATTGATACATTATCAAGAGAAATATGACTATCGCCATGTTATTTTCATCAACAGCCAGGATAGATGATTGCTAGAGATGTTTAGGACTGAAACAGAGCTGATACATTCCAACTCACAGGTTGCACCAAAACGTTATTCTTGCCATAAAGCAGTGTCAGTTTAGAGTTCTGATGAAGAGACTCCACATATTCCCTGGCTGACATATGAAATGTTTTGGTCTCTCTGGTCTCTTCAGTAGCGTTGCTGGCATCCCGTCGAACCTGGCATCATCATAATAAGAGTGAGTTCAGCTTATTGGTAAAGAACATGTCCATTAGCTAAATGTCTTCAATACCCTTAGCTTGTCTAAAATTCTTTTTTAAAAAACTCTACAGTTCAATGATGTGTAAAATTTAGGGAATATTTAATAACATTTCTGGCTAATTGTTCATCCCACATCACAGACACAGACATTGTAAAAACTAAATGTTTATTTTTGCCCTAAAATTGACTAGCTATTTGACCTCATGGAACCACTTTATTAAAATTTTATGTTAAATTTTTGGAGCTCATGCAATCATTTTAATTTTATTTTAAATTATTTGACCTCTTGCAATGATTTAAACTATATGTTAGATTATTTGACCTTGTGCAATGATTTTAATGTTATGTTTAATTATTTCACCTCGTGCAATAATTTTAATTTTATGTAAAATTATTTGACCTCGTGCAATGCTTTAAACTACATGTTAAATTATTTGACCTCGTGCAATTATTTTAATTTTATGTTATATTATTTGACCTCATGCAACCATTTTATTTAATTTCATGTTGTTGTTTTTTTTTACCTCATGCAATCATTTTCATTTCATGTTAAATAATATGACCTCAAGCAATCATTTTTATTTTCATGTTACACTATTTGACTTCATGCAATAATTGTATTTTTATGTTAAATTATGCAAACATTTCATAAGTATCATAACTGCTTACACAACTGTTAAGCTGTTCGGATGTTTTTAAGGGACTGAAGAAAAAAAGTTTATGATTTTATGACTAAACAATCTTGACTAACGAAAGTAGCAAGTTATTTATCGATTTTAAAATAAATAGAAACATTTAAGTTAAACTAAACATAACAATATATTTTTTATTGGTAAAAAATCAAAGCTTTAAAATAACCATAGAGGAATTCATGAATTTTGAAAATTGCTGTGATCCTGGAATTTTTAATCCTGAATGTAACAGAGCAGGGGTTTTTAGAATTTAATAGTCTATGAAACTTCCTTTCTTTGATTTAAAATTTGTGTTCTAATCTGTGCTTACCATCAATAAGATGATGGGGCTCTGATTTAAATTTAAGTACATATTTTGTGAAACTAACTAAAATAAGTGTTGCATTGTTGTAACAGCCCTGGACACAATTTTAAGAATCACTGTAATTGAAAACTAATCTGACTAATGATGTATTAAAAAAAAGCTAGATAATAAAAAAAAAAATATGATGAATGACTATGAAAAGTACCTGCAATCCTTGGCGTTTGGGAGATCCAGGCGAGGTAAACACATGGCTTCCACTGGAATGAATGCGGTGTCTCTGAACAAGTTCATCCGCAGGTGGGTCAGTCCAGAAGTGGTCAGAAGTCTTCATCTTTGTGTAATCAAGTGCACAGGGACCCACTATGATTGATACAAACAAAAGGTTCATATGCAGACACACAGGGACCCACTATGATTCATACAAACAAAAGGTTCATATGCAGACACACAGGGACCCACTATGATTCATACAAAAAAAGGTCCATATGCAGACACACAGGGACCCACTATGATTCAAACAAACAAAAGGTTCATATGCAGACACACAGGGACCCACTAATGATTCATACAAACAAAAGGTTCATATGCTGACACACAGGGACCCACTAATGATTCATACAAACAAAAGGTTCATATGCAGACACACAGGGACCCACTATGATTCATAAAAACAAAAGGTTCATATGCAGACACACAGGGACCCGCAATGATTCATACAAACATTCATACAAACAAAAGGTTCATATGCTGACACACAGGGACCCACTAATGATTCATACAAACAAAAGGTTCATATGCAGACACACAGGGACCCACTATGATTCATACAAACAAAAGGTTCATATGCAGACACACAGGGACCCGCTATGATTCATACAAACAAAAGGTTCATATGCAGACACACAGGGACCCACTAATGATTCATACAAACAAAAGGTTCATATGCTGACACACAGGGACCCACTAATGATTCATACAAAAAAAAGGTTCATATGCAGACACACAGGGACCCACTATGATTCATACAAACAAAAGGTTCATATGCTGACACACAGGGACCCACTAATGATTCACACAAACAAAAGGTTCATATGCAGACACACAGGGACCCACTATGATTCATACAAACAAAAGGTTCATATGCAGACACACAGGGACCCACTATGATTCATACAAATAAAGTCAATTTGTCCACCTCTCCATATTGGTTGATGCTAATTAATTATTTATAACGGGTTGGCATTTTATGGTATCAAAAATCCAATAAATCAGTCCAAAATAGGTTTATGGCAGTAAAACTGGTGTTTAAACTGTTTATTAAGTATATGACAACTGAATGATGCCACGTTAGTACCAAGCATGACATAATATTAAAGTTGATAAACTCTGATTTTATGACACCATCCTCCAGTCTAAAATATTCACCCATACACCAGAATCACATTGCTCAGATGATATTGTACTCTTATACAGCTAGCCATTTGGTATAAAAGACCTTTGTTTTGACAAAAATGTAAGTGCAAGACAAAACCTTATCAGCAAATAAGAGGGATTTATTTACTTTTTCTTAAATTGGTAATGGCAAGAAGTTTATAATGACGTAAAGGCAAACATTATTAGTAATAACTTTCAAAAACATAACCAAAAAAAAGTTTCTAATTAAATGTCATAGCCACTTATGGTCAGAAGAAAACTTTTAAAGATTTCAGATGTTGTGAGAAAATTGAGATTGTCATTGAAATGAAAGGGGGGGGGGGTTGATGATATATGTCTTGATTAATTGTCTTCACTTAAATGAGCAGTTTTCCTACAACTTGCAAATTAACATAACATGATATGGTCTATAACATGCAAACTTACCCAACAAAGAGGCAAAGATTGGCCCATCCACAGGATCTGCTATAAGGGCTTCTGGCTCATAATATTTACTGTTAAGAAAACCAGAAATAAAGCTTAATAGATCTTGGATCTACTTGGTTAGCACTGTAAGAACAACTGAAACAACAATTTCCATTTTTTTTATATTATTCAACAATAATGAAACAAGGAATATAATCAGCTGTCACATATACAAAGTCTTTCTTTCACAATAGCAGCCAATCTCTATTCTAAATACAAAGTCTTTCTCACAGTAGCAGCTGGTCTCTATTCTTAATACGAAGTCTTTCTCACAGTAGCAGCTGGTCTCTATTCTTAATACAAAATCTTTCTCAAAGCAGCTCAAATCTACTCTAGAGTCAAGAAAGTAGCCATGAGATTACCTGTTGTGCTGAACCAAGTAGTCCAGGATTTTAGCAAGTTTTTTTTCAAATATAGCCACACGAAGCCATAGGTATTTAGGACTCGAAACATTTGAGCTTGATTTTTTTGTTTGATTTTTATTGTTATCAAGAGATTTTCTGTGGAAACAAGAAATCAGCGATTTGCATAAACTGATTCAGCATTTATTTTCAGCCTCAAGATAAATTTACTTCAATTTAAATAAAAAAATAATTTTGGATATTACAAAATAAGTTACTAAATGGTAAATAAACTAGTCATGCAGCCTATCAAGATTAAAATAAAAATATTTTTTTTAAATTCTCAGCAAGTCAACAGATAGAGAATGGTAAGCATTGGTTTATAATCAAACCACCAGCTAAAATTTAAGATTTTTTATAACTTTAAGAAAAAATAGACAAAACTTACCTTGAACCAGACAGCTCAGTGGAGCTGGGAGTCTCGAGGTCGGAAACAAGCCTGGAAACTTCTGCAGCAGGCTCAAATGTTTTTGAGACTTTCTGCAATAGCGCCATGGTTGAGCCATATTTGAACAATCCAAGGGCACGTTTCTTGAGGCAGTGCAACAGACAGGCTTCTACAGCAGCTAGATAGATAAAAAGTATTGAGCACAATAAATGTCATTTTAGTGATTAATTTTAAGGAGGTAGATCCATTTTTTTTAAATTTTAAATATAATGAACAAATTTGTATCAACACTTACCACAAAGAGATGTGATACTGCTACTTTCTTCATGGACAAACTTTCGAGTGACAGCCTCTTCCATGATCTGCTTCACCTAAAAATTAAACAAAAAAGTTGAAAATATAGTGACTAAAATTTTGTTTATCTGGTTCTAAACTCACTATAAAAATAATGTTTCTTAGATTATTCACCACCCCTCTTAAGTAACCCTTATGCTAACCAAATATCTGTTTTAGATACCCAATTTTTAATTGATATCTGATATCATTTTTGTAACTATGCATTATAAAAGTTAATATTCCAAATGGATCTCCCACTAAGGTCAGATCAACATAATATAGTTGAAAGCTCATCTATTTCTAGAACTGACGAAGTAAGTTATTTTTAAAATTTTGTATTTATGCATATAATTATTCCAATACGCAAAGGTTTGCACCAGCTCTTGACCTAACCACTCATCTTATGATTATTGTAATATATTAAATAAAATCTGAAAAAAGTTATCTCCAGTTACCCAAACCTTGTTTATTGATATTGATTGCAGAATACATATCTGTAACTTTTTTATTACAATTATTTCTTTAAGAAAATCATGGTTGTTAACATTTTTTACTTGCCCTTTTTTTATCAACTGTACTGTACGTAAGGGGGGAAAAAATACTAGGAAAGCATCAATTAATTGCAGTATTAATTTCTTTACTTCATTTTCAATGAATTAAAAGGATGTCTTTGAGCTAATAATAATACCTTTAGATTAAACTAGCCATTAAGAAAATCATGAAGTATAATGTCTAGCTATGCCTCCAAGGAAAAGTTGCTATGATTTCTTCAAAGTTTAAGCCTTAAAATGTTCAAATTTTCATTTACTGACATTTGTAGGCCTATTAAAATTGATAAGAGCCCCCACTGCAATTCATAATTTCAAGAACATCTCTAATTCTTATCATTTAATTATCATTTATTTGTTTTACAGTCACGAACGATCTTGAAATGTCTGTTTTTGCACCTTACAAATAATCGTCTCTTTTAACAAACAAATTCATGACTGGGCATGTACAGTAAATGTAATAAATGATTTGATATAAAAGGCAAATCTGCAAAAATTAAAATGTAACTGATTTGAGTAATGAATAGGCCAGGCTATGACTTTCAATTCCAAGACCTACATTTATTTACTGCTCAGACCACAATAACAACTATTATTATTAGGCTATGTGAAAATGAGTGTAAATAATTAATTGAATAGGCCATTTCAAAATCTATTTTGATTATGGCAGTTTTGTAGGAACTAAGTTATAAGCTACTACTAGATCATTTGGACAATAAACTTTAACCTAACTATTAGTATTTATTAATATTATTATTAGTATTAATTATAGCTTGACCTATATTCTATATAATTATATTGGTTGTTTTTTTTTTATAAATAGGACTAGAACTAGACTAATAATTAATAATATTTATACTATTCTATTGCACAAGCCTATTTTTATTGTTGATTATTTCTGATTTGTAACTCTAAATTAAAAGAAATTTTTTTAAGAAATTAGCCTCAGCTTCCTAAGCGGAGGCCTAAGAGTAAGAGCTTTAGTCTTAAACTTAACTTTAAGGAAGGCAAGTTAATTTAAGGTCCTTTAATTTCATTTTCAAATTCTCAACTCGACATAAAAAAGGCAGGGGAAACTGGAAAAAAAAATTGTTGTATTTTAACATTGATGCATCATCAACATAGTTTTTCAAATCGTATCCAATCTCAGATCCTGGCTTTGCTTCAATGTTGGGTTATTCGGCATAAATCATGCTAAATAAATTATGTGCATCGCATCACGAAATGTCGATCACGGCCATTTTATATTCGATGTATATTTTTATTTTGACAAAGAAAAAACTTCTCACCTCTTTTTTGACTGCTCGCAAAAGTCGCTGTCGTTCTTCTGCTTCTGATGCCATTTTGTTACGGCTATTTCCGAGGCCTCTTAGAAGAGAAGTGGTTGTAAATAGGGAGTCAATGGCGCAACTGATTTACCACCGCCATCTCCACTTCTCGATTATATTTTCCGTTTCCATACACGCCTACACAGCCAAATTACCTCCGGATGTTTACACTTCGCATAGTGATGTGCCAATGAGTTCCCCAAGAAGCTTTCAAATTAATACTTATATCAAAAATTTATATTTTAGCATTAATCTGGTATATCTTTTTGTAAAATTTACGCTGTATTGTGAGTAAATCGGAGCACAAAATATATTACAAGAGTATAAGATATAATATATGATTGTGCAGATTAAAATATTCATAATTTTAGGGTGAACCTGTGATATAAATTTGCTTACAAAGCAATCTACTACTACTTTTCCGATGTGATGAGACCTCAAAATTTGAGCGTCAAAAAGATTTTAAGATATAATGTAGAAAATAAAACATTTTTACAGGTTGAGGGAGCTTTATTAAATAGAATACGGATATTTGAAAACATACAAATTTTCGTCTTGCAGAATATATTCATTAATTAAAAAATTGTTATTTATGTAATTAATAAACTAATAGCCTAATAGCGGAACCTGGCGCTAATGTAAGCCTCATATTCATACATAAGAAAAAATTAATAAAAATTACACAAGAGATTCAGTAAGGTTTTAAGAAATTCTAGTAAGGTTGAGCAGTGCCAAATAGTTTCTGCTAGTTACTGGATGTTACAATTTTGGCATTTTAGAATATATTATTTTTATGATGAAACCATGAATTAATGAAGAACTTATTTTGCATCAAATAATACTATTACATAAAATATCAAACTATACTGTTTTTAAACCTATTTTTAGATTACCTGCTTGGGCAAACAAAGTATTTAATGTAGGTTTCTGTGTATAGGGGCCATTCATAAATTATGTCACGCTATTTTGGCAAAACCCCCCCCCCCCCCCAAAAAAAAAAAAAGAGGATTTAAAAAAATTGGTTCCCCTAGACAGCCTATCTAATAAAATAAAAGTATTAGTATTAGAAAATGGCTGAAAGATTAGCACAATATAATAACAAGACTCCTAAAAATTTAGTTGAAAGAGTATTAGAAATGAAGAAGACTGGACATGATGTTAATTTTCTTGCATTATAAATAATAACTGAAGTGACTCATAACCTAAAACTTATTTGGAATGACTTTTATTAAATTATTTTTTATTGAAAATAAAACAAGCCTGATCCGTATATTAAAAATGCAGTGAACTGCTTGTTCTTACCTGAAATATTGAAGAACTTCATTTGCTTTCTTTTTGAAGAGGCCTCCGTACTTAAAATGTTTAAAAATATGTTATGTTATGATTTTATATAAATTTTATTAAAGCTAAAAATTAATTATATTTTTTCAAAATTAAAAATATTTAATCTGGCACAATACATCTAATTATGAAGCAACACAAGTCCAAAGTATATAACTACATTTTTATATTGAATGATCCCGGCAACAACACTATTATTGGTGTCTGCTGTTTAGAAGATTAAAAAAATGGCCGGTTCCGGTGCGGCCCATCTCAACACATCTAAGCTGAATTTAGGAGTTTTGAGGGATTATTATCGTCGTTCATTTCTAGAATGCATTGACAAGTGCAAAGGTTCAAAGGTAAATCTATTTTAACCATAATAAATTGATCGTAGTGACTGAAATTTTTTATGGATGGCTATTTTTTGTATCCAAATTAAAAGGAAAAATTATAAAATATAATATATTATATACTATTATACTATATAATAATAGTATATACTTTTAGCAGTTCTAGAGAGCTATTTATTTGTAGTAAACTAGTAGCTTCTAGTGAGCTATTGGTACTCCAGCCGATCAAATCAAACCAAAATTGGAACTTTAAAAACCCACTATCAATGATAATGGCGAAGTATTGCCCCGTTAATTTATTATTACTAGTGAGTAGCGACAGCACTTCAGCCAGGGACATCATTTGGGTAGGGCAGAGGGAGGCATTTGCCCCCCCCCCCCTCCCCTGAATTTTCAGGTTTTATTAAAATTGCAATCTGCTATGTACTGTGGCACTCCCTCTCCCCCCCCCCCCCCCCCCTATCGAAAAAAGTCTGAAATTACGTTCCTGACCTCAGTGTCCTCAGAACTAATTATTATAAAATCAACATTAATATTTTAACGCTGTGCTATAGCCTTCCTCATATTTGGCTATATTGCTATAATTATAATTTATAATATAGACCTAATTGTCCTGGTATAGTTAGATGTATAATACTAGTTTTAAATGATTAGGGGATCATAGTCTGCAATTTTTTTTACCCATCTTCTTTTTGCCAAAGTAATATGTGCAGTAATAATAAAATCCAGCTTTAAACATTTTGTGTGTGGTAATTATTATGATTAAAATTATTAATTAAAATGTAGGCCTAAATCTGTCTATAATTACCATAATAATAGTTTCACTGCATACAAAGTGTGCACATTAAAAAAAAATCTTGTTACTTTAGTTAAATGAAATAGTATAATAATCTGATTAGGCTTAAATTAAAGCTGACAATATAAGCTTTGGCCAATCTCTGTTAAGGAACATTGTCCCGTGACACCAACCCCCCTTACTGATTTTCTTTTGGAGATATGCCTACTGAGTATTACTTACACAATTTAGCACTTCTTAACTAATAAAGACATTAATCTTCTTCTTCTTATGCCTTTTAACCCCATCTGGGGCATAGGCGTTCCACAATAATTTTCCATTCATCACGGTCCTGTGCTTCCTTTCCAGATGCTTCCAGGTGTATCCCATATTGTGCATGTCTGCCTCTAGCTCGCGCCTCCATGTTTTCTTTGGCCTTCCTCTCTTTCTTTTCACATCAGGGTCACAGCAAGTAATCTATAAACTTCAATAACCCATTTATTGATTTCAAATTTGGTAGTGTTTATTAAAATTGATGTTAAAAGTCACATTTTGTGTTTATCCTACTGATCGAGTCTTTTTAGTTGCTCCTGACAGGGTAGATAATTAGTAAATAGTACCGTTTGGCCATCTGCAATGACTACTCAGCCATAGTGTAGCCCGTTATTATTTTTATATTTCATAATTTGATTTTCAGGCTTTAGTATGGGATGATGGCTTGACAGGACCATTTGGCTTAATAGCGGAGGCCTCCATGCTCAAGGTAAGAAGTTTTATGGATATAGTCTAATCTTAAAAATTAGAATTTTTATGACAATTTAAGTTCCAAAAATGTCATTGGTCTTCAAGGGGCTATTATGGTGTCTTATAGATAGTAAAATTCATGTTGGGGCTCATTTATATTGCAGAGATTTAAGTATGTAATATTTTATTACCTTAAATCCCTTTCATAAGTTGGAAACATGTTTGAAGTGTACTTTTCTGAATAAAATATTAATGTGTTATTTTGAAAAATAATAATATTCAAGAATTAATTCAGTATCAATCTTATTATCAATCTTTGTGACTAGGAACATCATGAGGTTGAAAGAATGTTTCGCCTTCAGTCTTCTGGTTTGCCAACCAGCCAAGTGCAAAATATCATCTTCATTGTTCGCCCTCGACTAAATCTAATGGAAACAATAGCCCAGTGTTTGTTAAGGTGAGTCTTGCTTTTAACTTACACAAATTTTAAGTTCTCTAGAATGAGAACTAAATAAGTCAGTTTATTGTAATTGTAAAAATATTGTAAAGTTTCAATATTAAGAAACATAGTAAACATTTATAAGCTTCATGTAAGCTTCATTGGATTCTCTGATACGTTTTAAAAAATTAAGAAAAATGCCTGTGATATTATTTATAGTTGGCCATCAAGAATCATTTCATTGTCAGTTCCTTGTTCCTGTCAGGATTAAACATAATCCCCTGTCAGTGTCAGTTCCTTGTTACTGTGAAGATTAATCACAATCCACTCCAGTTTTTCCAGCTTTCCTAGGGAGGTATGAAGTAGTCCTGAAAACCAATGTTTAAACTCTTTGAAGCAGTTCTTGAAATGAGGTTAGAAATAGATTCCTTCGTGGAACACCTTATTTGTAATTATCAGTGGGAAATTTCATATCATTTGTTAACTGAATTATTACAATACGCATTTGATGATTTCAGTGAGGAAGTAAAAGGCAGTCATGTGAGGAAAGAATTCTACTTATTGTTTGTTCCAAGACATAGTTTGCTGTGTGAAAAAAAACTCAAAGTAAGTCTTGATTATACAAATATGATGGATAGTGTGATTTCTTAAACTGAACTTTTACAACATATTTTTAATCTGCTGTTGCTGAATATTGAAAAAGTAAATCTCTACATCAGCGGTTCTCAACCTTTGGGTTGGGACCCCTTTGGGGGTCAAATGACCCTTTCACAGGGGTCGCCTAAGACCATCAGAAAACAAATATACTCTACAGTTATGAAGTAGAAACGAAAATAATTTTCTGGTTGGGGGTCGCCAAAACATGAGGAAAACTATTAAAGTGTCACGGCATTTGGAAGGTTGAGAACCACTGCTCTACAGTTTTTACTCAGTGCATCTCCTTTTACTTTTATCTTGTTTTTAGATTTTTATCATAGCTTTATTTTAAAAGTCTTTTCAAACTGTATGAATTTACATATCTTTTTTTTTTCCAGGAACTAGGTGTTTATGGATCATTTTCAAGTGTAGATGCCTTTAACCTTGGCCTGATTCCATTTGATTCAGATTTGTTGTCTATGGAGATGGATGAATCATACAGGGTGTGTTTAGTTTTGTTTGCTGTTGTCTTTGGCAATAATTCATTTACTTGATAAAATATTAATAAAATAACTGATTGTTAGCATAATCATTGATGATGCACATAGTTACTATTTTTGTATACCCTAGTGTTGCTTTATGAGTCAATGGAGATAATTGTGATAACATTACATTACTTCAACTTATCCTACATTTTGTCATTAATTTAGGAATGCTACTTGGAGAACGACTTCACCTGCATGTTCTTTGCTGCCCAATCACTGATGATCTTGCAGGCCTTATATGGGACAATCCCATACATTTCTGGCAAAGGGGACTGTGCAAAGGTAGCTTACCTTATTGTTTAATTAAAGAAATCCAATGTTACTATAGCAGTTATGAACGTAAGCCCAGCTGTGCACAGGAAACTCTTACTCAGCTATCATGTTAGATTCATGACTTTTACTGTCAACAACCAACAGGTTTTGCCTTTGTATTTATGACACAGCTAAAACATGAGTTTACTTAGTTTGTCCTCAGATAATGAGATGCTGTTCGTGCTTTTGTCCAGTGAAATGTTGCATGTTATGTGAATGGTGTACATATTGCAATGACATTTTTTACCTGTCAACCTTGCAGCAAGTGGTGGAAATGATGAGGAGAATGAAGATTGAGACTGGAGGGGTTGAACCCCAGATCACACCACAGATAGACAACTTGCTCATCCTGGACCGCAACGTTGATCTGTTGACGCCTCTCCTGTCTCAGCTGACCTACGAGGGTCTTATTGATGAGATCTTTAACATTAAAAACAGTAAGTTTTGTTTGGATTTATTTTGGTGTCAGTGTCGTCAAAGTGTTTAATCCTTTATGCAGTGAAGAAGTGAATTTTGAAGCTGCAATCAGCACTGGTTCACATTTTAGAAATAAGAAAACACATGTTACTATGATCAAAGACATCTCTGTTATGAGTCAAGTGCCTGAAGGACAATTAGCAAACCACTGTTTAGGATACTAATGAGTTTTTAACATTTTAGTAAACTCATTTTTGGTGGGGGGCTTATAATGTCTTTTTTTCTTGCTAAAATAATACATTTTATTGCATTGATTATAAAGTTGTGATTTACCGTATATACTCGCATAAAGGATACACCAGGAGATAGGCCACACCTCTAGCTGGCGGTTGTCAGAGTGGGTATTTGCGGTTCACCCTCAGATAAGTCACACCCTTAATTTTCGGAGTTTCATGGGCCCTTTTGTCAAAATGTAAATAAAATTAATGTTTGTTCAACAGACATTAAAAAAAAAATGAAAAGCTGTTGCATAAACTACATGATCTTTAAAAAAAATGTTTTTTAAAAAAATATTTCCCTTTGCTCCGGTGTAAGTGAGAGCAAGGAGAAAATGATTCTCCCACTTTTTGAAACAAAATTTAAGTAGTTTGTTAAGGTTGCACCATAACAAATTGTTATAAAAAATTTTGTTTTCAATTTGACTTCACAGCTTACGATGTGTGAGAGGGTTGTTCATTTAAAATACAGATTAAAGAGCATTAAATATTTGTGCTTTGTTTCAGCTAACGTCAAACTTCCTCCGGAAAAATTTTTAACGGCAGAGGAGAAAAAGAACACCAAAGATGAAGCATTAACTGAGCCAAAGAAATTTATTCTCAACTCAGCCGATGAGTTGTATGCAGAGCTGCGGGACAAAAACTTCAATGCTGTCGGCTCTATAGTTAGCCGCAAGGCTAAGACCATCACTGCGGAATTCGATGTGAGTCATTATGTGGGTCTGCATGGGAAGAAGCTGGGACTGAAAGCCAGAATACTAATGTGTGCTAAATGCATGGGTCTACATGGGAGGGATGAGATTGAAAGCCAGAATACTAATGTGTACTAAATGCAGAAGAGTGAAATATTTAAGTTATTAACATAGTGGAAGATTATTGTAACTGAATTATTGTCAGTGTGTTAGGTGTTGGTGGTCTATTCATGTCTGCTTATCAACACATTCTGCTCACTTATGAACTGTCTTTTTCTGTGTCTGCCTATTGTCTGTGTCTGCTTGTTGTCTGTGTATGCTTATTGCACATTCTGCTCATTTATCAACTGTCTTTATCTGTGTCTGCCTATTGTCTGTGTCTGCTTGTTGTCTGTGTATGCTTATTGACACATTCTGCTCATTTATCAACTGTCTTTGTCTGTATCTGCCTATTGTCACATTCTGCTTTAAATCATCTGTCAACTGTCTTTATTAGTGTCTGCCTATTTTCACATTCTTCTTAGTTATCAACAGTCTTTATCTATGCCTGCCTATTGTCGCATTCTGATCATCTTGCAACTGTCTTTATCTGTGTCAGCATATGTCACATTCTGCTCATCAAATATCTTTATCTGTGTCTGCCTATTGTCAAATTCAAATCATCTGTCAACTGTCTTTATTAGTGTCTGCTTAGTTATCAACAGTCTTTTTCTTTGTCTGCCTATAGTCACATTCTGCTCATTTATGAACTGTCTTTATCTATGTCTGCCTATTGTCGCATTCTGATCATCTTGCAACTGTCTTTATTTGTGTCTGCCTATTGTCACTGTTGTCCTGTATATTATAATGTCATTCTCGGTGCTTACCAGCCTTTAGTTATGAAGAAAGGTTTTTATTTTGTAATTTCCCAATGACAAAAGTTTTCATATATTTTTATACTTTTATTTTATTTTATTTCCCTATTAAATGTTACACAAAATAATGACAAAACTAATTGCCAAAATACTACAACCGTACACTGAACAAATACTAGGTGGATTCAAGCAAAACAGAACAACGACTGATCAGATGCCTATTGAGAAATGTTACAAATATAACATCCCAGTACACCAACTCTATGTGGACTATAAAATGGCCTATGACAGCATCGAAAGAAAATATCTATATGAGTCTCTGCAGGAGTTTGGGATACCCAACAAACTGACAAGACTAATACATGTAACATTAACAACCCAAAAAGCAAAATCAAGGTTCAAGGAGAATATTCAAGGGAATTCCAGATTAGATGCGGCCTAAGACAAGGGGACTTACTGTCTTGTATCCTATTTAACCTAACATTAGAGACCTAAGAAACATAAATATTGACACCCGAGGAATAATAACAGGATACTTTCTGAAGGAGACCCACAATCAATGGGCACTCTCTACATTAAAAACCTCTTTATTATTTTGCATATGCTGATGACATAACACTGTTAGGGAAAAGTAGTAGAGATATATTAAAAGCCTTTATTGAATTTGAAGACGCATTATCACAAGCAGGGCTAGAAGTTAACAACCAAAAAAAAACAAAATACATTACTTTGATAAGAGAAGAACAGACAGATAAAACCATTTAAAATTAAAAACCACACTTTCGTAAAGTAAATTAATTGAAATTAAGGATCCTTAATAAATGCAAGAAATGAATTACTAACAGAAATAAAAGAAAGAATATGGACCAGAAAGAGGGCACACTTCAGTAGTCAGGAAATACTCAAAAGTAAAAACATAATTACCATAAAAACAAAGGAAACTATATATAAAACTGTAATCAGACCAGTTGTAACATACGCAAGTGAAACTTGCACCCTAACAAAATTGGCATAAAACATATTAAACACATGGGAGAGACAAGATCTCCTGAAAATATATGGACCAAAAAAGGATGAATATGGATGGAGAAAATGAACCAACCATGAATTGTACAGCCCATATCAGGAACCCATGCTAGTAACAGAAATTTAAAAAAAGGGGGCAGGCTAAGCTGGGAGGGACACTTAGAAAGAATGCCAAATGACAGAGGAGTGAAGAGGGCACACCACCAAAACCCCAGAGGAAATCAGCTCTAATGCAGACCTAGGCTTAGATGGATGGATGATGTCGAAAAGCTACAGCAGCTGGGAATTCAAGCATGGAAAATAAAAGCATCAGTTAGGTCTGAGTGGAAGGATGTGCTGAGGCAGACCTAAGCCCTAAATGGGCTGTAGTGCAAGAGGGATGGATGGATGATTGGACTTCATTTTATTATCAATGATCATTATGTAGGCAAATCCATTTTCCTTATTTAATTGTTCATCTAACTGATGATGTAAATCTGTATATTTTTGTTAATGTTATCAGTAATGCTATGATTTTTTTTTTTTTTTAAAAAAGGAGAGACATGCTGCCAAGACAGTTGGAGAAATGAAACAGTTTGTGTCTAAGCTCCCTCACTTGCAAGCAGCACGTTCATCATTAGGCATACGTGAGTACAATAAAATCCTTTTTGAAATCTTCTTATTAAAAATGTGTAACATTCAGTAGCTATGTTTGTTATGAGTAGCGTGAAGATAATATTTTAATTTATGTTATAATTTACTGTACCATAAAAATTAAGTTTTATTCAAGTGTTGTTTATTTTTTTAATGAGCTGCTCATAAGTGAACACCAGTTTTATGTTGATTCAGTTAAGAAAAAAATTAAATGATGCTGTGTACTATTTCAGATACTTCAATAGCTGAGTTGATCAAGGAAGTCACAGACTCTGATGAGTTTCTTGATTCCCTGCGCTGCCAACAAGGTAAAGACTCCATAGGCCTCTGAAGGCATCAAATTTCATTGCTGGTTACAACCTTGGTAAAAATTGGGCCTTTGTCATCTTTAAATAGGAGTACATTTTTATTGATGGTGTAAGAATGTCTGCAAGCGTAAATAATGCTGAATGTAGTAGTGGTTTGTCTTTGGATGTCATATCATTCATAGTTTCATTAACAATTAAATTCTGCCAATTGTCTGGACTAGATTCAATTAATGATTAAAGTCTACCAGCTGTCTGAGACTTTGTTCAATTACTGATTAAATTCTGTCAATTGTCTGAGACTAGGTTCAGTTACTGATTAAAACAACTTACTTTTAATCTTAAATTAATTTTTGTTGTTTGTTTTTTATATTTCAAATTCACATAACACCATAAATTAAATTGAAGGGTAAAAAATGCCTGCATTGTAATTGCATTATGTTTATCCCCTCATTTAATTAAATCATATTTATTTTTGATAGATTTATGTACAAAGTTCTGCCTATGTCATATTGAGTAGTGAAAGATTTATTTAAAAACTGTACAAAGTTTGATCCCAGGTAATTTCTTGACAATTTCACCTACATCTGACTTGCCCTTTGATCCTCAGAGTTGACCCATGGTTTAGAAACTGACAAAGTGAATCCCTACATTGAAGACTGCATAGCGAGAATGGAGCCTCTCTGCAAGGTCCTCCGCCTGGTCTGCATACAATCTCTCTGTAATGATGGACTCAAGCCTAAAGTTTTAGAATATTACAAAAGGGAGATTATTCAGGTGATTAGTTTTCAAACTTGACATGGAGAGATCCGTCTTAGTTTTCCATTAGATCAACACTGAGCTGACATCTCCTGAACTAAAGCTGATTTCTTTTCTTTTTTTTTATGGTTTCTCTGAAACTTAGTTTTAAATTTTAAAACTAGTTTTAGTAAGCTTTCTATTCTATTATCTTCATCAAGTTAGCTCCATAATACTAATACAGATAAGAAATGACTACCCCAAGTTGTTATACACATAGATGACATTAAAAAATATCAGATAGAAGTTTATACAGCTCTATTAAAACATAAGTTGGCCAGCCATGCCAACCTGTATGGTTTACCAGCAGTTTGTACATTTTTTTGATCCCACAGGTTGGCATCTTTGAGGTAGAGATTTGAATTTCAATTAAATGTTTTGACATGTTTTTCTTTCTTTTGCCTTCTACTTCACAGACTTACGGCTTTGAACACCTGGTGACGTTATCTAACCTTGAAAAAACTGGATTCCTTCGTCTCCACTCCACACGTTTTTATCAAACTATTAGGAAAACACTCAAGTTAATTGTTGAGGAGGTTAATGAACAGGTTAGATATTTATACTGTCAGGAAACATTCGGGTTCATTGTCGAGGAAGTTGATGAACAGGCTAGATCATTATTTTTTATCCTTAAATTCAAGGTAGACATTTCCTAGTTGGATGTTCCGACAGAGGCTTTGAGGTGGGTGGTAGGGATTATTTTAGTTTAAGCAAACATTCCAACGTACTTGATTTTAATCTCAGTAGAAAATAATTAAAAGAATGGATCCAAAAATATGACTGCTATACTATTAACTTTACATTTATGGAAAAAGAGTTGTAAATTAGTTACACTTGAGAAAAAAAAAATGATGATCTGCTTATTTCATTCCACCAGAATAAGAAGTTTTATATTAACTTTTAAGTGCAATATTAAAGAATATAAAGCAACCTCAGATGGAACAAAATAATGACTTAATTATGCTTAGCCCAGAAGTCATCGACTGTCAATCCAGACAATCAGTTTCAAGAGGAAATATATCAGCTAGATGGAGCTAATGTTTCAAAACAAATTATTATATGAATGTTGCCCTCATTCAATTTTATTCCCCAGAATCCTAATGACATTGCATACGTGTATAGTGGTTACGCCCCTTTAAGTGTCAGACTTGCCCAATATTTGGCACGTCCAGGGTGGCGAAGCATCACAGAGGTTCTCAACATCTTACCAGGTCCCAAAGTGGAAGAAGTCCAACAAATTCCCATGGGGCTGCGCAAAAGACGTGAGTTTTTTGTTTGTTTGTTTTGCTACGACTGACATAAAGAGATTTTGATAACAAGGATTTTAGAAAGTATTATTACTTTACATTTAGTTTTGTCAAGAAAAGATCCTAGTTTTGTACAAGTATCCAATGATTGACTTTCCATTGACAGGAGCATCTGTAACATCTTCTCAATCCAGCATGGGGGAGCAGAAGTTGACTCTGGTTTTCTTTTTGGGTGGTGTCACCCAGGCAGAGGTGGCAGCCTTACGGTTTCTGGCACAGCAGGATGACGGTAAGCTAATAACAATCACTTTTTATACTACAGAGCAAGTCTGTTATTGTGATCTTGGTCACAGTGAGATATATTTTGTTATAGTCTTATATTTACTAGCAGTCATGGTGTCTTAACTTAAAGTCTTTTTGTCTGGTATGGTATTCTATTTGTCGAATGGTTTCATATTAGAAATATTGACAAGTTTCTTGGGGCCGTATCTAGAAACACAAAGGCGGCCACCATCTTGTTTGTTGAAAATGGGTCCCTATCCATAAGGATATTATGATTAGGGGTTTATCAATATCTTTTTTTGATATCAATGTAGATTTTTTTTTAGTTTAGTCACCTCCAGGCTATGCATTTTTTAGTAAAAAATATAAAATTTACATGCCTAATTGTTTCTGAGATGTAAAGAATTTAATCATTGTAATATTAATATGAACATGCTTTTTGACAGGTTTTAAAGTTCTGATTTTAAAAATATGGAAACCGTGAAAGGGATGGGGGCTTAGTTTTTTCTTTGTATAAAATTGATGGCTTTTTCTCTGTGATATACCGCCGAATTTTGTATCAAAAAATTATTCACTGGTTAAGCTTCATGTGGTACCAACAAATATTTGTTATGTTTGATATCCTATTTATGAGCCATTTTTTAATGGACAAATTAGGCTGTGTACTATAGTAATGCTATTATTACTGGAAGTTAGTAATCATGTATACAGAATAAAGCGTTTTTGAATTTCTAGGTCTAATGATAAATATGGAAACAGCTGGATAGCACACTGGGTAGTCATGTATAAGAAATGCATAGTAAAACAGTGGACGTATATGCTATATGTTTCTTGATATTGTAATAGCTGGTCATCTCTTCAGTCTTTTATCTTATCAAGTAAATACTTAACTACATGTCTCAGATATCAGACCTTTAAACTAGAACAACTACATGTCTCAGACATCAGACCTCTAAACTAGAACAACTACATGTCTCAGACATCAGACCTTTAAACTAGCACCTGTATAGAAGCTATTGAGATTTTACCTCTTCATTCACAAAATGCCCTATAACTAGTTGTCCTGTTTTCTTGATATCAAAGAAGTAATCACTAATTGACCTCTTCTGTTTCCTGCCAAGATGATGGCATGTAGCTTCCATACAAAAAAATGTCGCTAACTTTCTTCTATACAAACATTCCCACTTTTATCCCAACTAACAACGCTGATGGTGCTCCATACAGAATCATTGTTTTATTAATATTTCTCAATGAATTGTGCCTGTCTGCATGCAAGCTAACTCAGGTGTCCCCCAAGAGTATGTTGTGGCTACCACCCGTATCATTACTGGGAACTCATTAATGGAAGAGCTGATTGAAGGTGCTCAACGCTACCATCCAGATGGTGGAAGTGTCCACTAGCAGCCTCTGTCTCATGTAGGATTTGAATCTAGTAACTGTGTGTTCCAACTGCCAAGAAAAGGTCCCCCCCCCCTCCCTTCCCTGCTTTAAAATCCATTCTCCAAAAACTACAGAAAAATCTGATTGAGTCTAACCTTTGGGTACTCTTAAATACTGTTCTTACTAAAATGTTTTGATACTCAAATGCTTTTTCAAAAAGTTTATATATAAACATTTAAAATTATTTACACAATTCTGTGAATGGTATAAGCAAATATTGTAAAAAAAATAATTTTCAAATGGTTTTTAAAAAATGTATCCTATAACTCATAATTTGTTCAAAAGTTGATCTTTTATTATTTTACAGCAACTGAATAATCTGCATTCTCTGTTAATTTGGTTATATTCATCTGTGATTTTTAAAAATTACGTAACAAACCTAAAGATGCAATGTAACACTTACATATTTTTTTAATGATGCTCAGTTGAATAGTTTTTCCCTTCAATGCATTTTATTGAACTTCTACCCTCATCCATTGTTTTTCCTCACAGTGATCTTTATCTTATGTTTCCCAAACTCTCTTTTCCATCTTTGTATTCTATTGTACTACTTAATGATTTTTTGGTAATTGGTAAGAATCTTGATACTGGTCATTAAAAAGAAAACATGATAAATATTCCGGTTATTGACTTATTGAAATTGTGATCTCATGAATTATGATGCAAATGTTCTCTTAAGCATAATCCTTGCAGTAAATTTTTTTATGTGCTTATGCCCTGAAAAGAATGGACAGATGAGTAATTAATAAATGAATCAATAGTTAATATTTTGGTAAAATTTCGTTATTTAATGACTATTAATCAAAACGTAAACAGTTCATAATAAATACTGACAAAGGCTTCAAAAGTAAATACAAAATACATCTTTTCTTGTTGGTTTTTTTTTCTTTTCTATTATTCTTTTATTTTGACCCCCTATTATGTTTTAATGGAAATCTGTTTTCATGAATTTGCTGTGATAACAAGATCTTTTCCTTTCCCCACCAGGGGGCACTGACTATGTGGTGGCTACAACCAGTATTATCACAGGGAACCGACTCATCAACTCACTGAAAGAAACCATAGAACCTGTCAAGTTGAACCCATTTTAATCAGCCACAGATGACATGACTCTTCGGTTTTCACCGACCTGAAACCGATTTCGATGCTGCCATCTCAAAGTTTATTGATTTAAAAACCTTATAGCTTCCTACTGGATTTTGGCATATTGACATGATCAATAAATTGAGTTTTCTTTCTTGTGAAAGAAATGTATTTATGAAGTTTAATGACAAAATGTATTTTTAAAATTAAAATCCCTTTAAGCACCAATTCTGGCTGTGATTTTAAAAAAGTTATCTCTTAACCCCTTTGATACCACCCAATGTAAACTGTAGAGCTCGGAAAGGGTTAAATTTGATGTTTTTCCTTGTGACTTGGTAAAATAAGGTCCGTGGGTTGGGGAATGTTTTTAAATATCTCATACAAATGGAACAGTTAAATGACTTACAAATACAAGATAACAAGTTAATAACACTGAGCATGTTTTGTTGATTTTTAATACAAATAAAAAATTTGCATCTTGTCCATAAAAAAAAGAAACAATTTTTTTTTCAGAACTTTTTGTTAATAAAGTGACCTTTAACCTTGAAGTTGTTAACCTTGATGAGCCTCATCTACACCTTGATTCCATGCTCAGATTTAAGACTTGTAATAGGATATCTTAGAACATGAAAGAGATAACAGAGAGTTTAAAAATAGTAGCCCAAAATCAAACAAATCTCTTGAAGGTAAAGTAAGATGATGCCCTTTTGATAGCACAACCTGGGGTTAAGAAGTGCTTGAAGCATTTCTTTGGGAGCTCTAGTTTTCAAATCACTTGGTGGCCATGGTTTATTGATATAAGAGAGGTGAGTGGTTTATTGATATAAGAGAGATGAGTGGTTTATTGATATAAGAGAGGTGATTGGTTTATTGATATAAGAGAGATGAGTGGTTTATTGATATAAGAGAGATGAGTGGTTTATTGATATAAGAGAGATGAGTGGTTTATTGATATAAGAGAGATGAGTGGTTTATTTAAATTAAGAGAGATGAGTGGTTTATTGATATAAGAGAGATGAGTGGTTTATTGATATAAGAGAGATGAGTGGTTTATTGATATAAGAGAGATGAGTGGTTTATTGATATAAGAGAGATGAAAGGTTTATTGATATAAGAGAGATGAGTGGTTTATTGATATAAGAGAGATGAAAGGTTTATTTATATAAGAGAGATGAGTGGTTTATTGATATAAGAGAGATGAGTGGTTTATTGATATAAAGAGAGATCAGTTTCACCCGCAAATAGTGGGATCTTTACAAAATGAATGAATGGCAAGTAAGGATGTGTTGAGTGTGAGGTTACTTAGTGTTAGAAAGTGAGCATGTGTGAACTTTTATCTTTATTTTACACATGTTTGTGAGCATGTGCTGGAAATAACCTTATGCGGCTCAATTTATCATTGTGCAGAGCTAATGTGCTTTAAATGTCCAGGGGGCAAAACTGATAAGTAAAATTATTTTTTGCGTATTTTATTAGGATTTAAAGAGGAAATAACTGCCATGGTTCATTAATTGCTTTGATAAAATTCACAATTTCAGAAAAAACGCTTAGGAAAATTTTGTTTTCTTAATTTCAATGTGACCACATTCTTGAAATCTGTATTCTTGCCCTTTATAAATGTAGCAACTATTCCATCTGTCATAATGACCATGAGTTGCCTCTTATATAAGGTATAATGTTGATAGCTCTTATTCATGTTCATGCCAATTAATGGGATTGTGAATATGCAATTGTACTAAGTTATAGTAATAGTATAGATTTCCTGTTGAATTATCTCCCCTTTCTGTTAAATTCTCTTTCCTTTACTTTATGGTCTAAATTAGTCATGGTGCACCAATCACTTAAGAAGATGGAGTGATTGATTTATTTCATATGTTAGTTATATTTGGGTCTTAACTTTTAAAAGATTGACTGATTTGTTGATTAAGTTTGTGATAATAAAGCGTGTAATATCAGTTGATGCCATGGACCAATTGTCATGTATAGGTTTGTATAGTTGGAAATAAATTGCTTTTCATACAACTGGTGTCAGTGTTAATGGACAGTAGCTTATATCCAATACTAGCATGACACTCCCTCCAGTAGATGTGCAGAAGCTCTGAGTGAAGGAAAAGATACATAACAAAAAGTGCCCAGGCCAACACACTCTTTTAGCACTGTACAAAACAAACAAGTTCCCAGTCCATTTTAAACATTTCAAGTGCAAAGACCAAAAAACAAGTGAACAGCCCTAAACATCAGATTACAAGTGACCAGGCCAAAAGTTCCCAGTCTAAAATACACATTACAAGTGACCAGGCCAAAAGTTCCCAGTCTAAAATACACATTACAAGTGACCAGGCCAAAGTTCCCAGTTTAAAATACACATTACAAGTGACTAGGCAAAAAGTTCCCAGTCTAAAATACACATTGCAAGTGACCAGGCCAAAAGTTCCCAGTCTAAAATACCCAGTAAAAGTGACCAGCCATGGTCTAAAATAAACATTTCAAGTGACACACAAGTTCTCAGGCCAAAAAAATTGCACAGAACAAAATACACAAGTGCCCAGGCCAAAAAACACAAATTCCCATTCCTAAACACACAAGTGCCCAGGCCACAATCACACACCACGAAATTATTTGTGTAGTCAATACGAGCCTTCAGATATCAGCCACAAGGCCACTTTATGTTATCTGACCTTTGACCCTTATCATTTTCAAGGGGCGTTATGTTTATTGATCGCAAAAGTATATTCTCGCCTACTCTCTCCTTCTCTGTCTCTCTCTCTCTGTCTCTCTCTCTCTCTCTCTCTCTCTCTCTCTCTCTCTCTCCCCTCTCTCTCTCTCTCCCTCTCTCTCTCTCCCCCCTCTCTCTCCACTTTATGTTATCTGACCTTTGACCCTTATCATTTTCAAGGGGCGTTATGTTTATTGATCGCAAAAGTATATTCTCGCCTACTCTCTCCCTCTCTGTCTCTCTCTCTCTGTCTCTCTCTCTCTCTCTCTCTCTCTCTCTCTCTCTCTCCCCTCTCTCTCTCTCTCCCTCTCTCTCTCTATCCCCCCTCTCTCCACATCAGAGTAAATTTATCGATAGTAGCCTAAATATTTCACCCAAAATGGCACGTTGAAATAAATAACTGCAGACCTCGTTCACAAAACTTTTTGCTAATAATCTTTTACTTAAAGGTTTTCTCACACACACACACAAATAACATATTTTATTTCCGCTAATCTTGATGACGTCGTGTGCTATCCGTGCTGTAAGTTCTACGACATCCATGATTTTGACTCTTCCATTGTTGTATGTCTCAGGTTTCGTGTCATCCTATAAGGGAAAGCTCCACATCGGTTATCCGAAATACTTGACCTCTGACCGAATGGTATATATGAACAAAACGACCATAGCCTTGAGTGGCGTTTGATGGCTGGATGATACTGGCGTGCGGCGAGATGAACGTAATCTACATTGACATCTGTGTTGAGATGAATGATACGGCAAGTCGTTTTTAGATGCAAAGATTTACGGGCTTTTACTGGCATTGCATGCCTTTGAAGCAGTCCATCGGCCTTATTGGTGGGGGGGGGGGCAGTAATTAGGCTGAGAACGACGCGTCCCCCATATCCCCCCCCTTGTACTCTGTATACTTGTGTCTAAAGGTGCGATTACATCTATAAACGAAACCGATCAATGGGAATTGGTTTTATCTTGTTGTGCTTACATTAACATAAGGGAAACTTCAATGAGATTCTCGTGGGACAGCCAAACACCGGAAATGGATTAAATCTCCTGTTTTGTTATCTTGTAAAACTCCGCTGTTTTGCCTTGCGTTTAGTAAAACCCCACTTGTATAATATCTCATGTGTGTTATCTTGTATAACTCCCCTGTTAAGAATGATTCAAACCAAAATAGATGAACGCACTTTCTTAGCGACTTAAGTTTCACCCAACGGTTTTTTGTTGTTGTTTTTTTGGTGCCACCATGACATTATTTCTTGGCTCCGCCTCTGCGTCATGCGATACATGGATGATTGTGTTGACGACACTGATAAGTTACAAGGTGAACAGATAAACAGATACTGATCTGTGTCCGATGGCCGGGAAACTGATGCTAGTGCACCATTTTGCAGGACACTGTGCTGACCGTTCGTTTTGCCCAGCAGGGGATAAATAAATGTCAATCAAGATTTCAGGAACAAGAGGTGGGGCCTTTTGTCATTTGATAAATTCATTGAGTAAATCTAACGTGATTTAGACAGTATTGATTATTAATTATATAACAATTATTATTTAAACACGAAAAAAAGTAGAGGCTGCTTGCATTTTGCTTTCAAATTTCAAATGTATCATTGGTGATTTATATCAACTCATGCTAACACATGTTTAGAAACTGAATTGTATTTCTCTCACAGAAAATGTAAGAATATAGCTGGTCAGTTTCTATTCGTTGAATGCTTTTTGTTAAATCACTAGTGACAAATTTTTACAGGCTGTTGTTTTAGCTTGCAAACGCTTCGTAGTATCTGGAGGGGGCTGTTCACCTTGTACCCACTTCCCGATAAATTATCAACACAATGGAAGGGTCGAGGCAGTTTGAAGATGTTCAGATTTTTTTCTTCTTTCTTTCTTATGTCAAAATGGTAACGTTTTAGCTAAGTGGTTCACGACAGGAAACAAATTCTCAAATTTTAAGAAACTGACATCACTCTAATAGAAAGCTGTGCCACGTGCTCTCCCTTCCTCCCTCGGTCTCTCTCTCTCTCTCTCTCTCTCTCTCTCTCTCTCTCTCACACACACTCACTCTCTCTCTCTCACTCTCTCTCTCTCTCTCTCTCTCTCTCTCTCACACACACACTCTCTCTCTCTCTCTCTCTCTCTCTCTCTC